TACTTCTCCCAGCAGGATCTGGTGAGAAGTACGGTCGAGGGTGACGACAATACGTATGCTCCTGCGAGTGGCCTCAGTTCAGAGGGAGGGCTGGGGCATGGAGTAATGGCGGGCAACTCCAGGAGGGTCAGGGGGGGGTGAAAAAGTAAGAGGAAGTAAGGTAGTCCACATGTAGTGGTCAACGATGGAGAGTGCGGTAGCACGTTTCGCCTCCTCCAGGTGGTCCTCAACAGCCCCACGAGACCCATCAAGGCTGAGAGAATGATGCAAGTCACGTGATGGCCTTGAACAGTGGTAGCTGCAGTAGTAGGTGGCTGGTCGCCTGGGCTGAGTGGTCTCTCTCTCCGACAGTGTTGATGAGAGCTTCTGGACTGCCTTGAGAGAGTTGTTGCCTTCTTGGAGACCACGGACGATAGTGTGGTGAAGATCTCCTTCAGTGACAGAGACCGTGGTTCACATCTTGGTGACGTACTTGGTGCAGTACTGCAGGACTCTTGACGAGAGACGATGTACTGCATGTCCACCTTAGCACGCCATGCAGACGCTGAACTGGGTGAAGCTGTTGATTACCCATCGTTCCGACTGTGAGGAGAGTTGGTCGTCGTCTGTGATGATGGCTGTGTGTGGTTGCAGGGGCTGGGGTAGACAAACCGGCACTCCTGTTGCCATGCTTGGTGCGAGGCACGCAGTAGAGAGGCAGAGCAGCGAGTGTGTCTCTGGCAGGTGGCCACCAGATCAGCCAGGTCCTGGTCAAAGTCCCTGGATGTCCCGTATGCCTTGTTGCAGATGTGGGGATCAACCTTTGGAGCTGGTGCATCAGCAATGTTGCTGCCATCTGGAGGACGGCAGGGTTGGTGGTGGAGACAAGCTGGTCAGCGTGCGTGATGATCTCTGTGTGGAGTGCTTCACTGGCACCATCGCAAAGCTTCTCCACATCTGGTGTATCAGGTAACCAGGCCAGACCATGGACGTGAGGGCTGCCTCGGTGCTGCCACTCAAACCGGAGCCAGTAGTCCGTGGCTCCTAGGACTCCATTGTAGAAGTCACTTCACGAACTCCATGACTCTGTGGTAGAGAACCAAACTGCAAGGGCTGGTGTTCTCGATGACTGCCTTGGCTCTGGCAGTCCTGGAGTCCAGGTTGTCGGGGCAGATGAGTTGAGCCAGCTCTGGCCACTGAGAGGTTCTGTCTGCACTGCTGAGTGAGAAGAGACTGTCGCAGGCCCAGTGTGTCACCATGGAAGCAGACGACTCCTCTGACTGTTGCCAGTACTGTGCTTGGTGCCACGCAGACTGGAGGCGTAGTGGAGTACTCGACTGGAGATGCCTCTCCCTGTCTCCACCACCAGTGTCCCGCCAGGTCGTCCAGGGACAGCTGGCCATCTCCTGGGTGCTGTCTGACGTACACTCGGCCAGTCTGAAGGGCACGGGATGTCGCATCTCGGTGTTGAGAGCAAAGAAACGAAATCGTGGATGCTTGGCAAAAACGAACCATCAGTAATGCAGTCAGGTGCTTGAAGTAGTTCCCGATGGTGGCTGGGACCTGACGCTGGCCGAGGAAGTCAGCTGCTCCTGTGGGGAAAAGGGTGGGGAAGGCACAGGTGAAGTAGCCCTCGGTGGTGAACTCATTGAGTGGCATTCCACCAATGGAGGGCCACATCAGAGGTGTGTGGGAGGAGGAGCTGGATTGACGTCGATCCACTGACTGCTGCACTGCCTCCTGCTCCGTCATTGAGGGGACAGCAATAGGAACGAATGACTTTTGCAGATGCTCATTGTACAATGTATCATTGGTTATATCCCTGTCAACTGTTGATGTACTGGTACAACTGTCTGAGGATGAGGTCTCTTGAGTGACTGATACGAGGTCAGAAACATTTCCATCTTGTGGGAGCTGTTCCAAAGCCGTGGTGTCGATGGTAATACCCAAGGATCGATAGTACTGGTTGTGGATAACCAGCCATTGCAGAGCTCTGTGAACTACACTTCGCCTTACTCGGAAGTCACGATGGGTCTGGTGGACTCCTTCCCTCCTCACAACAATGACATCCAGGTCAGAAGGCAGTCGTGGCAAACTCTGGGCGAAGGAGGCCACATCCTGTGGCAGGTTGACTACATGTCCTGTGTACCCATACTGTCCCTGTGGCAGTCTGTATAGCGACATGATGGGCATCAATCTCTTCCACCTGTGTCAGACCCTGCCAAAATGTAATGAAACAGTATCTGGTTTTCTTTGCTATAGGTGTGACAATCATTACAATAGGTGTGGCAATCATAACACTGTTCCCATCCCATAACTCTGACTTACAGATAATTCGTGTGGCAGAGGACCAGGGTTCATGTTGTTCAGTGATGAGTAAGCTTTAGGACTGTGTTTGTCCTGAACACAATGCAAACACTCTGTACCAGATGGGGTTATCCGGACAGTCAAGCCAGGGAACCTCTCACGGCAGGTGATGCACAGGGACATCTGCAAAGATGCCATTTCAGAATGGAACTTGCTCATCCTTGATTGGACAATTGGCTGGTGAAGTTGAGGTTGGGTTGAAGTGGCAGTACTTGCCTGCTGCATGTGACTTTCTCGGTCATGCTGACGTCTTGCTTCAGTCTCTTGCGGAGTCTCTGAGGCAATCCGTTGTTCTCGGTTACCTCGTAGCTGTTGCAGGCGGGCCTCTCTCTCCTCGCTGGACTCGGCAGCAATCTGTTGTTGTTGGTTACGTCGTAGCTGTTGCAGGCGGGCCTCTCTCTCCTCGCTGGACTCGGCAGCAATCCGTTGTTGTTGGCTACGTCGCAGCTGTTGCAGGCGGGCCTCTCTCTCCTCGCTGGACTCGGCAGCAATTCGCCTTGCCTGGTAGCTTCTATCTCGTACACGACGTCTCGCTAGTCGTGCTTCTTCCCTTTCCTCCGCTGTTTCGGCGGCGAAGCGTTGCCTTGCCCGTTCCCTATCACGCAGTCGGCGTTGAGAAAGCCGAGCCTCTCTCTGCTCAGGAGTCTCACGGGCACGACGTTCTCTTTCCCGCTCTCTTCGACGACGAAGGGCATCCTCTGTAGACTGATGATCCACGGTTGCCACGGTTTGCCAGATTAGCACAAGTGTGTGAATGTGCATGTAACGAAGCCGCGCATGCGCACTTACACGACGTACGAACGGACGATATTCCGCTCGAACGAACGACTAGGTTGTCTCGCTCCCGCTCGCCAATTATCTACATTGTTATAGCTAGCTATTTAAGAACAGTGCTCATTTGCCTCAAGGTCCTGAAACCTAGAACAATGAGTTTACACAACTTCAAAAAGAAATAATGATGACTCCAAAATACTAGTAGGCGAATGCATGGCATTTTTGGCGAGCGGGAGCGAGCACACAATGACTCTATCTGCACGAGCCATCCTACAAATTTGAACCTTAGTATCACGAAGATTGGAAGGAGGTATAGACAGCCTCGGCCAGGTATCGAAGAGCGCAACGAATGCCAGCAAATAGACGAGAGTTCTTTGGCTGGCTATATTTCGCATCGCTATATAGGCGGCGAGTACAAATTTGCGCGTTCCCTATCACGAAAGCGACGCTGATACAAACGAGTCTCTCTGTCAGGAGTCTCACGGGCACGATGTTCTCTTTTATGGCGTGTAATCAGTGTCAAAAATAGTACGCACGCGCGGTCGATGAGGTCGGCCTACTTTACTGAGAGGTCGGTCTATTTTAGTAGGAGGTCGGTCCGCTTTACTATTAGAGGTCGGTCTACTTTACTAAGAGGTCGGTCTACCCGAGTCTCTACCTTACTAGAGTGACGGGCGGGCCCCTCCCGCCAGAAAAAACTTGCACCGGATGAGCGTAGAGGTCGAGGACTGACGGCGAGTGTAGTGGCCCGGTGCCTGCGCCAACCACCACCGCTGCTCCCGTTCGTACTCCATATTGGCGGCCCTCCTAGTAAAATGTGGACCGACCTCCTACTAAAACGGATCGACCTTCAAGTGAAATAGACCGACCTCTTCGTGAAGTTGAGCGACCGCTACTAGTAAAGTAGATTGACGGACCGACCTCTTAGTAAAATGGACCGACCTCCTAGTAAAGCGGACCGACCTCCTAGTAAAGTAGACCGACCTCTAATACTGAAGTACACCGACTAAAGCGGACCGACCTCTCAGCAAAGTAGACCGACCTCATCATCGACCGCGCGTGCGTACTATTTTTGACACTGATTACACGCCATACCTCTTTCCCACTCTCTTCGACGACACCCCGGACTATATGCACATGTATACGCACGGCAGGCAGCATGTGAAATTTTAAAATCCTTTCGGATAAAAAGAAGCGCGTAATCCTGCAGCATGCGCAGTTGGACGACGTACGGTCGTTCGTTGTAATAGAAAACCCGCTCGCCAATAATTCCACATGCACTATCACCACCCTGACAAGGTCAATGCGTGGCATGAGCTAACCAATCAGCAGGTAGTAGGTCAATCCGTGGGTGTTGGTGTGTAGGACCAAAACCTGAATGTTAGAAAGGAAATAGAGAGGAAAACGAAAACTGGCTGCTCACTATCAAAAAGTACCTACTGCCTCCCTCTTGTGTTCATTTGTCTCAGTAGATTTTCTTGAGTGATGGCAAAAGTGGCAATATGTTCTGTTTTTCTGGTGTCCCTGCTGACTGGGCAAGGCTGGTCGCAGTGCTTCAGCAATGCAAACTGTACGGGATTCACAGTGGCTACAACAACAGATCAAAGAGAGTGCTGTGTTGAAACTCCAGATGGTCTGTCATTCAATAATGGCTCTAACTGCAATCTCTGCATTGGTACGTATTAGATAATACTAGGAAGATGTTGCTATATCTCTCTCTCTCTCTCTCTCCCCTCCCCTAACAGAGTGGTTTAATATAATATATATATAGCTAAAAGTAGTGATGTACATGTGGTTACTATAAATCTACTCATGGAGACATAACAAGGGTAGCTGTGTATATAATAGGTAGTTCACTTCAGTATAAGCAAGTCAGCAAAAGCAACCAGGTATATGCTGTAGAGTCAATAAAACTATGCTGAAGAATATCTCTATCTGTAATTGAGGTTTCCCTGTTTGATTAATGTATACTGCTGGACTCCAAAAGGCGGAGTGGCCTCACCCCATTCGGGAGTGTATTACATATCGGGAGTATAAAGAGGCCGAAACATCATGAACAATGGGGAACTCCCCTGATGACCAGTGCAGTCACATAGATTTATAGACTCTGATTCAGGAGACTACCAATATCAAAACCTGTGCATTTTAAGCGTTCGGATGTGTGTTTCTCAATGCCCCACACAAATAGCTATGGACAAAGTGCCGCCTAACTTTTAAGTTATAGATTTTGCGCCCGTAAAATCGCTCTCATCTCTCTCTCTCTCTCTCCTCTCTCTCTCTTTTTCTCTCTGTCATATAATTATAAACCTTCTTGTGAGTGCCATACATGGTACACAATGGGGGAGGAATTTGGTGAACAGTATGTGAACTGTTTTGCGAGAACCATTAATTTCCCCCTCTTGACCCCACCTCTACCGTGATAAGCTTAGCTATGTAGTGGGAGAGCCTTGCCTGCTCAACAATGTCGGCATATGGGCTGCTTCCTTCAACGAGGTCTCGAAACACATTGTTTACTCGAGGGAGCAAAGATTCCTATATAGCTTTGTCATCCCACCAGACAACATCTGGTCTGAGGTCTTATGTTGTGGGAAGGTATGAACCCAGGTCACTACTATATAATACTCGCTGATGGTGGCAAGTAGGCTGAGATGAGGGATAAATTTTCACTGAGAACAGCGTCGTGACAACCATTGAACCTCCGTCCATCTCTAGCCACTCTAGAGACATTCAGGACATGAATGAGGGACTGGTCATCCCCACAGACTTTGCAGGCAGCACACTCTCTCTCTCTCTTGTTCCACAGACGGAGATTGAGGTTGTGTGGTAGTGTGTCCACAGCACTGTTAAGAGCAAATTTGAACTGCTCGTCGGTTAGCATACTCAAAACCTTTGCCCAAATGTGTGCTGCTTCTGGGGTGGTGCAGCGTGACATGTGGCCTTGCTTTTCCAGCCCCTGCAGGTCCTGCAGCGTTCCCTGGTGGTCGTCTTCCTGGACTAGCTTTTTAGCTACAGCTGCTAGCCTCTTCCTCGTGATTCCAGGATCTGTCACCATCGCATCCCTCACCACCTCTAATGCTCAAAACTTGGATCTTGACAGAACAAGGTCCTTCTGAGCTCCGCCATGTGTTGAACACCCGGATCACTGGAAGTAAGCGGTTGAGCCTGCCGGGAGACCTGCAACTTTTTGTGGAGCGTGGAAATCCGTGGGAGATTGAGACCACCCATCTTTGTAGAGAGATATAAGAGTGTGGTGTTCGCCGAGCGTGTAAGCCCAGCCCATTTCTTTAGAAAAGAGGTAGCCAAAGAATCTGCATGCTTTTCAACCCAGGAGATTGGAAACTGCTCAATGGTAAGCAGCCAGGAGAGCCGAGGGCACACCCCAGCTTTGTAAAGCAGTAGTTTCTGTTTCCTGGTTAGTGGGCATGTGTCAATGCAGCTCAGCATGCGACTGAGCTCAGACACTACCACCTTTGGTTTCATGGTATCTCGACTCTCATCCCCAGGAACTTGACTGGATGAGATGCATACGGTATAGGTTGCCCATCCAACGAGAGACCTGGGTCAATCTTTTACCAGATGACAACTGTATTGCTAAGGAGGCACATTTAGGAATTTTAGCTTTCATGCCTGACCACCTGAGCCACCGTGCTACCATGTCCAGAAGATACTGACAGGAAGCTGGTGAGTCAGCCACTAGACAAGTGTCATCAGCATACTGGAGGAGATTTACTGGCTTCTGTTTAGGGGAGTACTTGTACCCAAAGATCCTGTAAGGTGTCAATCTTGGTGTTGATCACTGTATTGAAGATCACAACCTATAATGGGTCACCTTGATAAACACCGACCTTTAGGGGGATTAGTGATGTTGTCCACTCCCTTGAGGTGACCCTCGCTTGTAGACCGGTGTAGAAGGCTTGAACTATCGCCTTAAACTGGGGAGGTGTGCTGTAGTGCTCCAATGCAAAGCTGATGAGTGAGTGGTGAACGCTTCCATGCGCATTAGCCAAGTCCAGCCGACACACTGCCAGCGACTTGTGTTCTTCCTATCATCACCCAGTATTGTTGCGAGCTTCAAGTGGTGCTCGGTGCACCCAGGAGTAAATGCTATCTGAACGGATGTATCGAAGAACTTGTTGGCAGTCATGTAACGAAGCCATCGGTTCCTCAGGATGGTTTCCCTACACATGATGTTAGGGCAATTGGACGAAAGTTAGAAGGAACCGATGGATCCTCTTCAGCTGTTGCCTTGCCAATCAGTTTCACAGCAGCCACCTTCCACTGAGCAGGGACTACCGACTGAGACCAACAGGATTTGAATAAATCGTGCAATGCAGGCAGCAGCGCTGGGCACTGCTTGAAGATAACATGATATACCATCAAATGGACAAGGGGAGGAGTTTCACCAGAACTTCTTGATCGCCGATGTTATCTTCTCTAGCGTAATTTAGTCACAGTTGAACTCGGTAACCGGAGGAGAGGGTGATGGCATCCAGGCTGGCTGGTGAAAGGTCTGAGGCTCAGCATGGTACACCGTGCTGAAGAAGTCTGTGGCTTCATCCTCCATGAAGGTGGGAACCACCCCTGATTGTGGTTTGTTGTCTAAAAGCTGTTGTGTGAATGACCAGAAATGGGAATGGCACTGATCCTTTGCCAGCTTGGCTGAAGCTGTATCTACCGAACGCTGCCATCGCTTGTTCAGTCGACTATGTGCTCGAACTGATTGGTAAAACTTGCGTGCCAAGGCTAGGACCTGATCAGGAGAGATTGAGCCTGTTCTCTTTTCATTCATGAACACCCTGCGGGCTTTCCTTTTGCCTCCTTTGCCTCCTTCAGTCTCTGTGCTAGCTTCTCTGCCTTCTACCATGCTTCTTCCTTGATCCTTAGAACCAAACTCTGTTGCAAAGAAGGTATACACTCCCTCCGCCAATAGAGCATGCTTGCCATCCACTGCTGGCTCCAGTATCACCCTCGGCACCAAACCCTGTTCAAAGTGCTCATTGGCCTTCTTCCAACCTTCAGCCGATGTTGGGAGGCAAAGCCTTGGCTTGAACTCTTGCTCATGGAAGCTTCACTCTCTGACATTACACACACTACCCTGTTGAGAGGGAGGCTCACCAGGGCTGGGACAGCAGGAACTGGAGAGTGGTCATGTTGGGATATGTCTCTACAGGTAGCACTTTTCCTCAGATGTGTATCTAGCCTTGAAAAATGTTTGTGACACTTTGGGCAGAACTTGGTCTTGCAGCTGCCAGCACTACCCTTCTTGGCCAAACTTTTGTTGGACAAGAAAGGGGCATAATCCCTACCATTCCTCTGGCTACAGTAAGGCAGATGGTTTCCTAGCCTCTCCAGATAATTTCTCTTGCGAAAAGGACAAGTTGAACTCCCCACAACACTGCCATTATTTGATAGTTCAGTAGCCATGGCTGACCTTTAGGTCTGAAGTTTTGGGTGAATTGTAGCAAAGCAACTGCCACCAAAACTTCACAGCAGACTCAAATGTAGCAGAACAAGACTCTCACCACTTTTTTTGAGTCACAAAACTAGTAGTAACTAGCAGGAAGCAGAGGCAGTAGATCAGAGCTAACTAGCTAGCACTTCTCCCTAGCAGCAATTTTTCTCTCTCTCTATCTCTCCGGTGAAAACCATCATGTGTTGTGGCATACATGTACAAGATGGGTTAGTGAGAGAGACACTGTTTTACAAGTGACTGACGACGACATTGCACAGTATAGTCACAACTCAGCCCTCGAATTACGTATGAGTTAATTATAGTTCCATTTACGCTGTCAATTAGGTTGAGGGTGCATTCTGGTTAACCTGCATTCTTACAACATGGTGTGGCGACTTAGGTAGAAGTGTTCCTCTTACACCAAATCTTGAAGGACTCCTCCATCACCGTTGTTGTGAGCTTGGTTAGGAAGGCCTTCCATTGCCTACTAGAAGCCTCAGGCACGATTGAATGACTTATAAGCCCTCTCTCCTGCAAAGCCCCCCTACTCCCCACTTGAAGAGGTGTCAACGTCGATTTGTGGCCTGCTTCTTGAGCCTTTGCAACCAGTTCCGCATAACGTGCTGTCTTCCTGCGCTCAGCCTCAACAAAACCAGTCTCATAATAGATAGTCAGCTCAACAATGTGGAGAGCCTTCTCCTTATCACTCCAGATGACTCGGTCTGGTCTGAGGGTGGTTGCTACAATGTGGTGGGTGAAGTTGTAACTTGTTCCAGGGACATCGGCCAGTAGCTGGTAACCCTTTGGTAGATGGGTGTGCACCATCTCAGCCACCACTGACAGGACTCTGTCATGCCTGTGGTTGTAGCGGCGCAGGTGGAGAGCAACCTAGCAGTTGTTCAATACGTGAAGAAGGGTCTGTCTACTGCCACACAGCCTGCACTCCTCCGAGACAGAACCTCCTCACCATCTTGCCAGGTTACAGTTATGAGGCAGCGTGTCGGTGGCAGCGTTCAAGATGAACTTCAAGCCCTCTGACCCTAGCATTGCCACAGCAGAAGCCCAGATGTCATGGGCATATGATGTCGCTCTCATCAGCTCACGCATAAATTTGAAATGGCGGTATGAGGAAAGATATTCATAGATGTAGAGGGTGTGGCAGCCAGGTGTTCCGTCTGTCTTCTGACGTCGCAGCAGGTAGCGCTGACCCGTAGATGCGTGTCGAGTCGCTGAAAATGCTGGCCGCACTTCTCACACCGGGCTCGAGTAGATGGCATTAGCAGACGGGAGGGCGTTGACTTGTGTAGAGCAAAGCAATAGTCCTTTGTTGATATCAGCGGGCTTATCGGAGTATTAGCTGACAGTTGATCGCGTCAGCAAGCTCCAGAGTTTAGAGAGTAGCCCGTTGTACCAGGATATAGACAGAGCTATTTTCAACCGACCTCCGCGTCGCGTTCAATTTCTCTCTCTCTCTCTCTCTCTCTCTCTAAACAAACAACAAACAACAAAACCCTTTCTTTGACATACACAGTACAATAAGGGGAGTATGAGATCAGTAGGAAGTTGCGAAAACACCACAAATGTGTTGCGCAATACTACTGCACTACTGCACACTGCACATGGGAATATCAGACTTGGGAGAGAGGGATGACATGGGTGGTATGGAGGTTATGGGGACAAAGAAGTAGCTATAGTGCACGCTGCACACTCAGAGTTGGCAGATAATGCACAATTCATAAAGGCTGAAATAAAGCCACTTTTTTTTTCCTTTTCACACAGCAGAGGTAACAAATGACACGCTACCTTTACTTCAGGCATAGTTGCTCAATATTCAGACTACACCTTGAACACATGCACACACAGACTTGTAGAATTATTTCAGCTAAAGCAGTCATTCATGTGCAGGTTATCAAGTCAGCCCGGGTCATGAAGAAGGCCGTGGGTTACCTGACACCCTTTATGGAGGAAGAGCGCCTAAAAGAAGTTGGTGAAACGGAAAATGAGGTATGACATTTAACAAGCATTCACACCTTTGCCTAGAATTGTGCCATGTGTATGCATATGATTGCTGCCAATACAGAATCAAAACTGAAGGGAGACAGGTTCAGAATTACTCCTGCCTGATCTTAATACTATGGGCGCCACACGCCACTTTAATGGCACGCGTGTAATTGCTCCGCAACGCCACGCGTCACTTTAGTGCCGCGGAATTACGTATTACGCGGATGGGCGTAGCAATATTCCGCACATGCGTAATTCCACGTACGCGGAGAAATTTCAACAATACTACGCGGCGTGAAAAGTGTTAAATGTTGCGATTGGAAAAGTTATGGAGTGTTAACTACGTGAACAAGGCAATTACACAGCACGTGATTTGCGAACAGCAGCATAGATAGTGCACTCATTGCCCGGATTAATCATGGTTGAACATCCAGACCTTGTTTAGGATAGGTCATGTTTGGAGCTGGTTATTAAAAAATATGGCTTTTGAGTTAGATATTTGTGCACTGAGGTATTTTAACAGCTTTTATTTTGTTTGTGTTTTAGCTCTTCCTCAACACATGTGCAGTGAGTGTTACTGTACTAAGAAAATGGTATGTCAAGAATGCTTTGAAAATGTATAGCTAATGAGGTTCATTTTGGGGTAAGACACCTACCCACAGATCTCTTAGTGATATGACACCTGTGGTTAGGTGGCTTACTTCTAACTATGACCCTTCCGTTTACAGTATGCGCAGACCGGGGCATCAAGAAGCGACGATCATGAGCTGAGACTGCTCAGACCTCGCCGTGACTCTAACAGTTACGATGCTGCTAATAGCAGTGATTTTCAGCATCGTCGACAGTGCCCAGTGCCCAGTGTGGAATCAGGAGGCCTCTCCTCTGTCGGGCTATCGTCGAAAAGTTGAAACGCCGCCGCTAATAGCCAGTACTTACCAGCATCGACGCAATCGTGGATTGCGCCCGGTATCGGCTTGGGAGAACTCGCCTTCGCGGTGCTTTCCTCAAAGAGCTGCTACCAACCAAGGTTGAACGCGGACGAGCTACAGCCAACCGTACGGCTATCCATCATTTTCTTAACAACTAAGACGGCAAATTCTCGTCTTTCATATGCTTGGGGTGTGTGTGTGTGTGTGTGTCCACGCTTATTCTGGCACTGCAGGCTGGGAGGTGGCCTATAAACGATACCCACAGCTTCAAACACCAGAAATATATGGGGGTGATTCATCCGATTATTATTAGCCAGTAATTTTCTGTTAACGCTAAACATTAATCGACTTTTCTCGGAAAAAATTCGAACATCATAAATCGTTGGAAATCTTTCAAGCAGATCATTTGCATTTTTCCGTTTGACGGAGGAATTTGCGGTAGCCTGGAGTTCAAAGTTATGGTCAGCTAGTCCAGTCCAGCATGTCTAGCTAGCCTGAGGGGAGTTCTTTACTTTTAGACGGACAAGGACCATCCAGCGACCCTATTGCCTCAATCCTCCACCAGCTTCAAATAGTCTGTTCTGTGACCACCTCCCATCTATTGGTAGGCAATAATTATGAAAAACATGATATATGAAGTCACTCTGATGAAACCAGTAATTACTTTCTAGTTATTCCAAAGGTCGCAAAAATGGGATGTATGTTGCTTGCTCCTTTTGAAGTTCTGACGTTCCTGCTTCAGAAAAAAACACTTCATCACTGGATCTAAAAAATCAACATAAGCACATGAGTTACACACATACACATGTAAGCGGCATGTAGCATTCTGATATTATGCTAAATGATGTAAATGGTTCTATAATACCTGCGCAGTAAGTGGATCTTCAACGCTCACAACAAACAACGGGCTTGAACAAATCAGGGTTCTTAATCATCATGCCAAGGACACCTGCATCTGACAGGCCTTCTTTTATTTCATCCAGCTCACCTGTGTGCATTACACTAGTAACACACGTGTATTACTAGTATACATATATGATAGTAACTTGTATGCAGAGTCACACACTCAATAATCAGAGGAATATCTTGACGATTTATAGTGGCATGAGGCTTGTGTGAAACCACAAGAGAGAAGAATATCAGAATGCTTCATAGCAATCTCACTGAGTCTTGCATTATCCCCACTGGTAGTAATAACAATCTGTAGGAAAACCATAAGAAGCAACATGTAGGACTTGGAAAGGTTCTTTTCACCTCATCAAGTATGATATTGATCTCTAAATCAGATATTTCATCTCATCCAACAGCTATATCACGAAGATGTCGGCCACAAAGGTATGAATAGGTGGAGGCTGCGAAAAACGGATACCCAGATCCACCTTGTACTAAAGATATTATACCAATCAGCATGCCAATTTTGCAGAAAATACCCTCCTACAAGTGAGAGTGCATGAAGAGCTATAATAGCTTGTGATAATAGGTACGTTAGAGCGTTAACCGGAGACGTATCGTTCATAACTTCGTTTAACCGATGTTTTATACAACCGCTCTCACTAAAACCGTTAACCGGAGTATGTTCTGCTGAAATTATGGCATGAATCGGGGTTCAACCCATTATAGTGCACTGTTGCAGGATAAAGTTTTTCTGAATGTGTGAATTCATTTCAGTGTTGCTCTGGTTGTACTGGCTAGCCTGTGTTAGAGTGAGAAACAGACTCCGTCGATACCACGGGGCCCGGCCCATCAATTAGCACGGTGCTGAATGCGCTTTGTATTGTTCACATTTTTTCAACAGGTGCGCGTTTATGAGTTTGCACTTTAGTGCTTTTCATTTTTAAAGCTGGAAACGAGGTTAATTTGCATAGTGTGTTAAAAGTTCCGTGAAGCACAGGTGTTGCTTGTTATTTCGAGAATATACACTCTGGATAGACCAAACTACTCATATTGTTTGTTCAGCAAATCTTTGGGATAAAGCCATGTCACCATCATTGAAGTTTGAACTATAGATGGTATCTAAACATTTTCCAATGCTTCGGTAGCTATTTTGCAACCCTAGGCATTTCAGGCAATGGCAACAATGCCCCTATACCTCTCTCCCTGTATATAGGTTAGATGCCGAGTCCAGGATACTACGCGAATTAAAGAGCTGCGTGAGCCCTGAGCTGTCGGCGTTCGAGCGCAGCGAGGATGCTACTAAAGGGCCCCCAAGGCGCTCTAATGCGTGTAGTTTCCATGACGAGGCGTCTAACCGGTTTAGAGCTATGGTAATGCGTTCATTCAAACCAAACGCGCGTTGGAGAAATGGCGACAGGCTTCGATATCTTCAGAGAGGCTATCCGCGACTGGCTTGAAGAACCAGACAACGATGAGGCTGAGCCTGTGTCTCTTTTCCTAGCAGCGAGCGACGACTACGAGTCCTCACAAAACCCCACCCAATAGCCAAGTTGTCGGCCACTCCAACTCCCGCTTTGCTGCTACAAAGAGCGATGGCAATGCATGGCTAAACGCGCGTTGGAGAAATGGCGACAGGCTTCGTTATCTTCGGAGTGACACGAGCTGCTCTTGCCACTTTCAACTTCAGAGAGTAGCTTAGTCTCAGCAAACTAAAACGGTGAAGCACTCGTGCCCATGCGCGAGAATTAGAGTCCGGCGCTACTAAGAGCCCGAGGCTTTCTAAATCACGTATTTTCATTGGACGAGCAGAATAACCGGTTTAGACTGAGAAGTCGCGCTAATGGTGGAGCGGGCAGATTCAAAAGCATAGCAACAGAGAAATCAGTTCACGCTCAGTTACCGAAAATGGACGCTGGAGAACTGTTCTGCAGGGAGATTGGAGAATGGGCCGGTGACGGACGACGACACCGACGCTCTGCTACTAGCGCAAGCCAAGAGTTCGAGTTGCGCACTACAACTGTCACGCCCACGTCATCTGTGCCCGCGCCTCCTGCCGCACAACAACAGACCACAACGAGCACCACCCACCACAACCACCAGCAGCAAAGCAGAAGTTCCGCCCTGAGGTTTGCTCCCCCGCAAACCGAGGAACAAATAGAACGCGCCCGAATAGACGGCATTCCTGATTCGACCAAAAGAGACACGCAATATTGTCTAAAAATATGGGAAGAATGGAGCAAATAAAGGGGGAAAAACATGCACACCCATCTAGCCCTTACAACAATGCCATTGGCTTGTTCGGTTTGTCCTAGAGGCACGAAAAAGAAACGGCGAACCATATCCACCGAACTCTCTACTTCACATAGCAATGGGATTGGTCAGGTACACGAGGTGCAGTGGACGATATATTGACGTCCTCAAAGACCTCGAATTTCACGACATTCGTGCCACACTAGATTCTGAAATGAAGCGGCTGCAGAGTAAAGGTGTTGGTTCAAGCAAACGGCAGGCGGAGGTCATAACAGTGGAGGAGGAGGAAACCCTCTGGCGAAATGGTTTCCTCGGCAAGTCGAACCCACAGGTCCTCTTGGACACAATTATCTACTACTGTGGTCTGACTTTGCCCTGCGTAGTGGCAAAGAGCATCGGCAGTTACAAAACTCGCCATGCCAGATCCAGGTGGTGGAACGGCCAGGAGAGAGAGCCTACTTACGCTACGCAGAGTGCGTCTCCAAAAATCATCAGGGTGGGCTGAATGGCCGCAAGGTCAAACAGAAAGTTGTTCTCCACCATGCCAACCCAGATTCCCTCTGGCCGTTGCTTTGTTCATCTGTTCAAACTGTACAGGCAGCGATGTCCCCCAAATGCTCCGTCACATGCTTTCTATCTGCAGCCTCTACACAAACCAACCCCGAGCTGTTGGTATTCGTCATGACCTTTGGGCCACACCACACTAGCGAAGACTATTGGTCGAATTTGCAAGAGTGCCAGCATACCAGGGCATAAAACCAACCATTCCCTGCGTGCCACCACTGCCACCAGGCTTTACCAGAGCGGCGTTGATGAACAGCTAGTCATGGAGAGGACTGGACATCGAAGCCTGGACGGGGTGAGGTCTTACAAGCTTACAAGCCAGAGGGAGGCTCTCTCCGATATACTAAACAGGCAGGGCGCCCTGAGCACTGTAACCGAGCGGTCGGCAGTTACTGTTCAGTCTTCCCAAAACAGCCAGCTGCCGCAGGGTCTTAGTCTCCCCTCTGTAACCTTCTCGCATTGTCCGGTCACTTTCAACATCGGATGCGTCAGCGGTGGGGAAGAAAATCAGAAGCAACCAAGAAAGAGGCGGGCAGTGATCTTGGACGACTCGGACTCCGAGTAGCGCTAGACTACACAACTCAAAACTGCAGCTGCTACCACTACCAGCACATCTATATGCTGTCGCACACACACACACACAACCTACGCGCATGCGCATTATTATGTCGCAGTTAGCGCGAGTAAAATTACCCCCGGGGGGATCTCCGTGGGAACACGCACTTGGAAAATACGGGATTTGAGTCCACGTTTTACGCAATGTGATATATAAATCAGGCGAAGTCTAAATATGACTATGGCTTTCCAGGGACATCCTCTCCTCTGGGGGGTGGTACCCAGACTGTCACCTGGAACAAGACACACTCCTTTTTACACACACAATCTTTTACTCTCAGACATACGGCCAGCTATCTGTGATGTTGACCTGTGCAAGCAAGAGCATAAGCAGGAGCGCTATGGTATCTTGGTTGAGGGCTCGTATGAAGTCTTTGGCCATATGTGTAGCTGGATATTGAACTGTAGACTATTGCTGGTGTGCTTTAAAGGCATTCTCACCGAGTTTTTAAGCTTTTGTATGCGGATCATGTAAGATTTCACCTGTGCCCTCCCTATATAGTGCTTCTACCGAAGCACAAAATTTTAAACAGAGCCTCCTCCATGTAAGAATTCGCTCATACGTGATTTCACCAGTCTTCGTGTCATTGTATTCTTCATCTTCTTCGTCTTCTGCAAAAGTGCTATCTTCTTACCGAAACCACTTGATGCACTTTTTTCCTTAAGGGTCTCCAGGTTCCACAGAGATGTGCACGTGCAGCCAGTTATACCAGGCTAGGTTGCGGGTGGCTTCCGGTTTTATGCTCTCGTGCAGGAATGCCATTAGAACCCTTGGGTACTATAATACGCATGCCACCCTGACCAGCGTGTTTTAACTATTTCTTAGTATTATACTGATGACACAGGTAGAAGGGAGCCCACCTATGTTAAAATACTTCACACTTTGTCTTAGAGGAGATGACGAATGTCTCTGCAACTCCACAGCATAGCTCCATGCGAACCATTCTCCACACACGAGTTAGCAAACACAAGGTCTTTTGTATCCATAAAAACACAAGCAAACGGTATTGACAAAACTGAAGCTAAAAACTACATTTGCTAGGCATGCTTCTTCTCTTCGCGACAGCCCGCTGCTGACAAAGGTCTAAGCTCACACATGACCATCTACAACGCCACAGTGGAGCTGCCAACTCATCTTTAGAACGTTGTGCAGCTGCTTTGTGGCATAATTAGCTGCAAGACATGGCTACCTGCGCAGCACGTGCTCTCTCAAGTGTGCATATTATTTGTATATATACACATATTGTCTTTGTCAGGCAAACTCCTGAAATCAAAATAAAACTCCCCACACCATTCCATCCCCTTTTTCTGCACACTTCATATTCCCATTGTTCAGTAAAACATTTTGTTATGTCGATGTTGAGAGCATAGCTCCATTAACTTGTCCTCATATTGCAGGTACATTACAATGGAACAATTGTTTTGGCTACAGTCAAGGGAGATGTTCATGATATAGGAAAAAATATTGTTGGCATTGTTCTTGGCTGCAATAATTACAAGTGAGTGATTGGGGTGTATAAGAAAATTTATTTATACTATGTTGTTTGTTTACAGGATTGTTGACTTAGGAGTAATGACACCTTGTCAAAAAATACTTGAAACTGTTATGCAAGTTAAAGCTGGTAAGGAGCTATAATTACTGTTTCAGGTAATCAAACTCAAAGCCCAAGACTTGGTCATTGCTAAAGCATTGGCATGCTTGTTCAGTGAAGATTACAGTACTTAAGTATGTGTGTTGGTCATTTAATACCTCACCTTTTGAGTGATTGTTTGTTCCACAAATCTCTGGCATTACAAATTCTCTTTGACCAGGCTCAGCCTACTCAGCGCATCCTGGAAGTGGAGGCATAAGGTTTTAAACTCAGGGGAAAGTTTAAAAAATTGCCCTAAACGTTACCTTTTTAGAGAAACAAACTGGCGAGTTAGACTACGTAGCTAGGTCCATGGATTGATTGTGCATGTGTGTTATTACAGGCAGCGTTCTTTTAAGCCAAGGATTTGTACCTTGGTGCCTTTCAAAATGGCTAAAACCTTACCAATGCTGGAAATCAGGCGAAGCTTGAGGATTCTGATTCTGGAAAAAGGAGGGCTATCATGCGAGGTTAGTTTTGCTTGCAAGGCCTTTGTAAATTGGGAAGTATCAAAAACATGAACCTGTCTTGTTGTTGTATGAAACCAGCTTTGCTAACGTACAGGATATGTCGTGGTTAACAAATTTCAGTAAGGTCGCAAGGGCTGAGGTAGGAGAGAGAAGTGACAACTCTACCTTGGGTCTATCCGCCTGGCCATGCGTACACTGCAATTAAACACACATAATGCTGATACATTTGATACTGATAAGTACGGAGTGTGCACAAATTGAGCCATTCCGGAGTTCCTGCCACTACTGGTCTCTCCCCTAGTCTGCCCTGGGCTTCTTCACTCTCCCTGGTCTTAATTGGTCTCCCTTGTGTCTACTTGTCTTCCTCAGTCCCTGATCTCCAGTCTACCTCAGTCTCCCTGATCTCTAATGGTCTACACTAGTCTCGCTGATCTCTACTGGTCTTCCCCAGTCGCCACTGATCTCCCTCAATCGCTACTGGTCTCCATTAGTCTCCCTGGTCTCCACTGATCCCCCTGTGTCTCACTTCTCTCCCTTAGCCACCCTGGTCTCCAATCTTGTCCCTGGTCTATCCTGGCAGGGGTTTTAACTCTCCCAATTTGGGTTGGAGACTCCCGATTTTGGCACAAACCTCCCATCCTTCCACCTCACACTATGGAATATCCGATCGGAGCTAGCATTGTCTTCCTTGTGGTATGATACAGTTACACACATGTCCACTGTGCCTACACTGTTGTGCATGCGCACAACAGAGAGAGAGGAAAGGGAGCATGAGTTTGGGAGAAGACTCATTGGAAGGTTATTGATGTTGGCTGTCTCCGCCACATTTTAAATTGTGTGGCAGTAAAGAGTTTTGCACTGCCTGTTGATGACTTTATTGACATAATATAGCTTGTTTCCACAAAAGAAGTTTATTAGCCCTCGGCGCGCATGCGCAGCGAGTGTTACGGTACTTGGTCGGTGTGTCTGTGTGTCCGTTCCCGTTTTCTGCCACTAGGCGCAAAAAGATCGCCAAAAGCCTACGCCAACGGATTCAGCGCAACATTTTGGCGATATTCGTGAGTCTGACACAGGCTAGCTACGTACAGTAGTAGATAGCATGCGGGAATCAATACAAGCCATTCGTTATGACTTCTTGTGCCTTCAAGATACACAGAGCAAGCGGACCCGCTCGAGGTAGCTGGTCTATTAGCATATTGGCTTTTTCACTCATGTTTCGCGCCGTAACTCCCGAACGCAGCAGTTTCAGAGAAAACCCAACATATATTTCGACGCTGAATACGTGGTATCGTTTGTGAAGTGAGATGTCAGGGTACCGGACTGACTGACTGACAGACACACACGACAACTACAGTAACCCTCGCTGTGCATGCGCACCGAGGGTTAATGATGCTTAATTATGGATCGCACGTGAGCCCCGTGCCTGCTCGTTGCATGTACAACAGAATGCTGAATAGGCTTAAATGCATACTCACTGATACTTGCTGATGGTTGGAGGCATGCTGACCCAGGTACTGCTTACCCTGCCCAGAGAACTCATCACACCCGTCTGCTCACTCCGCTGGCTCCACTTTCGCACGGCTTTGATGATATTTCGATGACGTAAGGTGAGCGTTGGAGTGAATGCGGGTGCCCTGATGGTGTATGTTGCAACTTGGGTGGCATGGTGGAGTCTGGAGGCAAAGCCTTCCTCCACCCAAGTCCTCCTTATCACCTGGCTAGCCGCCAACATGCCCCTGCCCCTTTACCCAATTGCCTCTTAACAAACTGTGGGGTATGGTAACATATTATATATACTCTGCGGATGGAAGCTACTAGTACTGCTTCTGGATGGATATAGTGTTCATGCGGGACGATAAAGCTGCCCACTCTTGCAGTGTTAGTCGAATATATGATAGGAAGGCTGAGCTTGACCACCTCCCCAACGCCTGTATGGTCGAATCTTCAATGCCCGCTGCTGCTCCTGTTGTTGCTGCGCCGATCCGGAAGCTATGCCCCGCGTACTGCGCAGGGTCAAGCCCAATTGCTGTCAGGGCCTCCCGCCACCGCTCTCGACACCGATAGCAAGTCGTAAAGCCTTCTGATAAAAGTACGGCCCGGCCGAACCACGGTGGCTGCATGCTGCAACTCCCGCTTTGTTCAAGGGCACTTTCGGTCGTGTGATGTTCGCTGAGGCACAGTTGGCATATTGCCCTATGCCGAGCTCTCCTCTCAAAGCCCAAATTGAACAGTGACGTGTTCACCACCGACCAGTTAAGATATTTCGTCATTTCGGCCCTCCGCCTGAAGGCACGGTCGTACAGCACCCATGCCGGTCCCTAGTAGTCTTTATGGCACCTCACGATGCAGGCCATGTTGGAAGGTGCAATCACCCCTGGCGACGGCGCCGTTCTCCCCGAAAGGGAGTCGGATCAACATTCCCGTATGCCATCAACTCCTCCGTTTTACCCGGATAGGCTGTGGACACCGTGCTGACAAACGTTGCAAAGAATTGTATCCACTGCAGGCTGGGCCCCACTGGCGCCTCAGCTTGGCTTCCATGGCCGTCTCATCCAGCAGCCAGGCCTCCGGCAGGAGGTCAGCCATCTCAGCAAACTCGAGCGCAACGATCTTCTTGACGAGCTTAGCAGGCAGAGGGCTAAGCCTTCCCTGACCAACACTAGCCACAAGCGTAGATACCGTTGCTGCTGTTGCATCGGCGAGAGCTGTCGTCGCCGTAACTGCCGGGGTGACTGGGAGTGCGAGAGCCGGGGGGCCCGATATGGTAGGAGCTGCCACCGTCACTGCCGGAGTCGGTGATCCACTGGCCGCAATGGGCCCCACAGAGGCCGGGAGAATGGTTGCCAACACAGTCCTCAGCACAGACGATGACATCGCCGGGATGATTGGAATGCTCGCCGGCATTACCCCCATAGCCACTACAAAAGACGAATTCCCACGGCCACACACCTGCTGCAGCCAGCAACAAAGCGGAGAATAGGCGTAGCTCGCGTCACAGCATGGTGAGCCACGCCTCCTGCGGCCCCCGGCCCACCTCCGCACGCATGCGTATTGCCAGGTAGCGGCGCGAAGGCGATGTCCGTATAGGGGCACGCAACCACGACAACAGCAGCCGGCCGCTGCGCCCGCCGTCCTGTGCGGGCTTTTCAAAAGTCACTACAAAATGTCCCGGCCCCTCGCGCCGTGCAAGAGCCTAACAATGTGTCCTTGCAACCAACCCTCATGGCACAAACGGAGCCGCCGAGACCCCCACGGCCCCTGCACCAGCGCCTCTCGGAACAACACCCATGCGAGTGTTCGCACTCTGCAAGCAACTGCCATAGCCCGCATCGCCCTATTGCTGCACCTGCTTGTTGCCGCCTGCCCACAACAGCAACCCCAATGCACCATTCAGCACCACAAGGCTCTTACCGCTAGAGGTAGGACCTGTTGCGGCTCTCACTGCTGGCGAAGGCCCCTCCACCTCCACCACTGGCATTGAAGCTGTTGTGCCCGGTGCAGTAGCCATCAGAGCAACGTCGGATTCCGACACGACTGAGCTTGACGATGACGACGGCGACGAATAGCAGCACAAAAACACCGGAGAAGAGGCGTACACAGTGCGGAGAAACCAACGATGTTACGGCACCGACGAGCCAAAAACCGTCTCTGGGGCTCCAGGAGAAAAAGTGAGGGGTCTGCGCTGCCATTGCTGCCGAAAACTGACTTCTGCTAAAAATGTCCCTTGCCGTTGCTAGGCCCTTCTGATTGGCTAGACCCTTCCCGTGCTGCGATCATCTCGCACCCAGGTTGCGCAATCCCATTGCGATGTCGTGTGCATGCGTCATCCGTCCCCTCTATAGCTCTCGCGTTAAACCACGTTTTCTGCGACTACTCGCAACGACACAACAAAATAGCGATACCAATGGGGTCATTGCTACACTGGCTTCGATTTTCCTATAACTAGTCCGTTCAAGAGTGTGAAAAGCAAGTGAACAAGCCAAAATGCACATTAGCACAGGCTTACCTCGACCGGGTCCGCTTGCTCTGTGTACCTTGGAGGCACAGGAAGTCACAACAAATAGCATGTATCGACTCCCACATGCTATCTACTACTCTAGCTAACCCGTGTCAGACTCTCCACGAGCTACTAGCAGGAGACGACCAGTAAACACATGCTAATAACCCAGCCCATCATTTAGCAGTATCGCGCATGCGCAGTTCACCGAGGGTTTGCACAGAAAATTACTGCTTTCTATACTTATGGCACGAAAACCAAGTAAACAAGCCAAAATGCAAATTCCTACAGGCTTACCTCAGCCATATTCCACCTGTTTCCGTTCTTTAGAAATGGCAAGTGTCGAGTGTCATTATTTCAAAAACGCTATCTAACTTGTGTCAAACTCTCAGAGGGTTAGCTAAGACAACGACACGACTAACAACAGTGTAGCCCAGCCCATCATATACTATACTAACCTGCCCATGCGTATGGATGCATTACATATACTCACTCGTGTCTAGTGTGCCGAGGGTTTGCACACTTTTCATTAAAGAAGAACTTGGTTCTCAAAGCATCTCCTCACTGGTGTAAAAAGTTTATGCTTCTTGGTGCACTACAAGCTTTCGTCTTGGTACAGGTAATCTTATGCCAAATGAGTTAGCACATCTTACAAGGTAGAATACTGTGCACTGGCAGGATTTTGCGCCTATGAACTGCAACATGTAGTACCAGACGTTCTAGCTACATGTGAAGTATGTACCAAAAAAACTGTTGCTTCATTGTTTACTGTTTCAGGTGGAAGCTTTGGAATTAATTCGTGTAAGCGTGCATAGCGACACAAAGGTGAAGGAAGCTGTGTTATAGCTCTTGCCTGAAGCTAGGCAAAAGGTGCTATTATGTGTGTGTTACTAGCTGCTGTGAAGGGGAGATGATAAGTAATACGGTTTGCACCAATCAGTGGAGAGTAGTATGTATGTACGTATTAGTTGAAACACCCCATTGAAGGATCTGGCTGGTACTGCCAGATCGTGATAGTGAGGTGTTTGAGTTGTTAACCCTTGGCGCGCATGCGCAGCGAGGGTTACTGTACTTGATTCGTGAGTGTATGTTTGTCCGTTCGTCTGTTACCACGTTTTCTGCGACTACGCGCAACAAGACAACGAAATAGCGACACCAACAGGTTCATCGCTACACTGGCCTCATTTTAAAAAGGTGATTTTGATATAACTTCTGCGTTCAAAAGTTATGGCATGAAAGGCAAGTGAACAAGCCAATATGCAAATTTGGGCTTACCTCGACCAGGTCCGCTTGCCTTGTGTACCTTGGAGGCACAAGAAGTCACAACGGAGGGCGTGTATCAACTTTCGCATGCCGTCTACTTCTGTACCCAGACTCTCCACGAGCTACCAGCGGGAAACCGCGAGTAAATGCATACACTAATAGCCTAGCCCAACAATTAGCGGTATCGGGCATGCGCAGCTTGAGGAGGGTTTTGCACTTTAGTGCTTTTCATTATAGTCTGTGGTCCAAGTGTTTTCATAGTATTGTTCAGACAGGTGTGCACTGTGGTCCAGGTACATGCTCTAGCTTAAATAAACACTTCAAAAGATCAAAGGAACCAGGCTATGAGTACACTATATGAATCGTCACTGCTCTGAAAGTTGTATTACTGCCTGCAATTCTGACATTCTAGAATTTGTATGCTGTTACTGTCTTTTTATAATGTAAACAGACATTGTTGGAGTATCTGGCTTAATTACTCCATCTTTGGAAGAGATGATCTATGTTGCAAAAGAAATGGAACGGAACAATATGAAGATCCCTCTGTTAATTGGAGGAGCAACAACTTCTAAGTATGTTATGAGTTGAGTTGTTTGTTATTTTTATGAGTGTTCTTTGCTGGTAGGATTCATACAGCAGTAAAGATTGCACCGAAATATAACCAACCAACAGTTCATGTTTTGGATGCTTCCAAGAGTGTTGTTGTCGTGAGTAAAACCTGTTGAAAGTGTACAGTTTTCTTTGTATTGGCGCAGAAAGTTTGATTTAAGCACAATGTTTTCCAGGGGTGTAGTGATGGTTAAAGTGCTTGTGCCACTTTTCTACCACAACGTGAGCGGAAAAGTGATATTATCATGTTACATGCAACACTGGCTTGACTGGCATTTTTTTAAAAGTTATAAGAAAGTGAACAAGTCAGTATGCAACACTAGACTAGATTCCCCCGATTGGCACTTCACATAGTGTTTTTCATTATATCCTCTTTCCTTTCCTCCTATTGTACCTTCTTTCGCCCCTTCTCTGTAAGTCTTTTTGAGTTTCCGCACGTCACTAGCGGCGCCCTTCGCTTTCGTCCTTAGGGCCCCGTGTCAGCTGCCGGGATTTAGTGTTACGGTGTCTACAACGTCAGTGGGATGATACGTTCGTCCCTTTTTGCCCTGTGTTCTAGATCGCCATTTTCTGCTCCACCTTGCCAGGAACTTGGTTGCCCTCCGGTTGCGAGCCCGCTTACTTGTCTAATCCTTTTAATTGCCCGACAGGCAGTCTGTTTCTGCTCGTTCAGCTTTTGGGTTTTGTGGGTCTTTACTTTCGTCACTTCTTCGTGTCTCCCTTTTTTCTTGCCCGGTCCTGTTTGTTTTCGCGCGGCTGCGCCCGCTGGTTTCTGCTCCCGGGTTTTCCTTTGGTTGCTTCCCGCTTTGGTTTCCCCCAATGTTTGTCTTTTTGTCCGCAGCGATGCTTTTCGGCTTTTATTCTATCTTCTCTATAAGTTGCCTCATCGGGGTGGTTCATTGTCGCCCTCTTGTTTAGCTCGCATTGCGTTTTTCTTTTACTGGTTGCTCCGCCTCTGATGTCTGACGGCCTATCTTCATATCTCTGGATAGATACTACAACAAGAGCAAGACCAGGTTTTAAATGAAGCACCTAGCAAATCTTGGGGGCAAAATATCTGCTTCTAGCATGCCCTTAAAATGGTCGATAAATACTCACTCTTAGTGCTATTTCCGGCGACGTATCACTAAGTACGGTAGTACTTAGTATATAGGGATGACACAGGTTGTCCTGCATTATGCCCATACATTTGAGATTTTCATGTTTGACTTTGAGTTTCCAACTTTTGATATATCAGACTGATCTGTATCGTCACAAAGAGCATGTATTCAAGAAATGGCTTAAATCGCAAAATAGGTACTTGATTTATTCAAAAAAGACAGTTTTCAAAATTGTTGTTGTTGTTGTCGTTCAGTTGCCCTAGCTGTAGGACTGTTTGAGTAATAGTCTGACTATACGATGCCCAAGGTGAAACCCTCCAAACAGGCCAAACAGCAACTGGATCACTGTGTGTTGGGTGACCTGGACGCTGGTGCCAGGCACTGCAAAGCAATTGTAATGGCAAACTGATTGAATGATAAGTGGTGAGGTTGAATGAGTGTGCGTGGGTCCTATGTGTCTGTCCACATGGAGTGAGAGTAAGGACGGATGTAGGACTTAACTGCGTCGCTCCTCCACCGGCCGAGGTGTTGTATGGTGGACACAGTTGCTCCCTCGTGGGCTGCTGTGGTGGCTGCACCAATACGGAAGCTGTGAGTGTTGTAGTGCTCCGGATTGTGGCCAGAGTATTTTAGGGAGCGACGGAGGTAGTAGAGGCATCTGCGCCTTGTCAGTGGTCGCCCATCCCTGAAGGTGAACAGAGGGGCTGGTGTAGGCGGCGTTGTTCTCATGTAATGCTTTACTGGGCAGATGGAGGCTGGAGTGGTGCGGGAGAGCTGGAAGGTGTGGCCACGGTGGAACTGGTCCGTTTTAGACCTGGGAATAAAGAAGGTGAAGTACCTCCGGTGTAGAGCCACGTGGGAAGTAGCAGGATGAAACCTCGGGTTGAAACGGGTGTGAGGGGGCATGGTGAACTCGCTGACTCTTAAGAACCCATGGAAGGCCAATGTGAAGCCCGTCGGTCGTGTCCCCGAAGTGAGGGTGCGTGGCGGAGGTGCCCTAGCATTCGATGTAGTAAGGATGGTGTGATGGGTTCCCGTTGTCTGCTCGTGGTAGGTAGGTGCCTCCTCCGTATGGCTCGCAGCACGAGAGAGAGCTGAAGGTTCCGATGGGTTGGGTCTGGCAAAGCATGTTCACGATGGGCAGCTCTGTTGGCTGCGATGTAAACACGAATGGTAGATGGTGCTAGGTTCCTGCTGATGAGACAGCGAAGTAGGTGACCGTCAGCTTGGAGGCTGGTAGTGGTGCGACGTTGTAGCGAGAGCAGAATCTGGTGAAGCGACGGAATCCAGTTGAGTATGTGCCACGTGTAGATGATGCGAGAGAGTGTTCTAGTAGTTGTCTGAGCTGTGCCCTCAAAGTTCGTTCAGCATGCCAGGAGTTGGAGTAGGTGTCCGCTGGGCCTGCGGGGCAAGAGAGAAAAACAACATGAAGTTCTGTCATGAGATGGCATCAGCAATTGAGTTTTTGACGCCGGGTATGTGTTTGAGTGTAATTGTGAAATTGCCCTTGGCAGCTGTGAAGAAGAGGAGGTGCAGTAGACTCATGATACGTGGTTGGCGGGATGTCTTCCCTTCCCATGCCTGAACAATGGTTAAGTTGTCACAGAAAAATCTGATCTTGCGTCTGGTCCATTGGTGACCCCAGGTCAGGGAGGTGGCTACAATAGCAAAGAGCTCTTGCCATTGGATGGAGATGTGTTTTGACAGTTCCTGATGGGACTGCCACTGGTGGTGAAACCACTGCCCCTGGAAGTAGGCACCACAGCCAAAGCATCCAGACGCATCTGTGTATAGGTCCAAATCGTGGGCGTCGACAGCACTTGGGTCAAAGCACGGCCGTTCCAGTCCGGAAGGAAGGACTTCCACCAAACGATATCAGCCAGAGCTTCCTGCTTCAGGCGGATGTGGTGGTGAAGTCGTTGGACTTTGGTGCTAAGATGGATGAGGTGGCGAAGGAACAGGCAGCCTGCAGGGACTGCTCTTGCTGCAAAGCTCAGTACGCCGATGAAAGGTGAGGGACCTTCCAGTTTGTCCAGAGCAACTGGGCACGCCCAGCAAGTTGCAGACACGGAGGAAAGTTTTTACCCTGTGCCCGCATCTGGGTGAGGCCGGTTGTTCCATGAGGAGGTAGTCATCCAGGTAATGGATGGGGTGAGGGATATCGTAGTTGTTTTGCAGTATCCAGTGGAGAGCATCGGCGAATTGATTGAAGAGGTAGGGGGCGGAGCGTAAGCCGAAGGGGAGACATGTGTCGATGTAGTATTGGTTTTGCCAGTGGATACCTAACAGTTCCCAATCCTCCTGTCGCACTGGTACCATCCGGAAAGCGGACTTGAGATCGACCTTGGCCATCAGTGCTCCGGTGCCGAGCTGGAGTAGAGACGAAACTGCATCGTCGATGGTCGCATAGTGGAGGGACTATTCCTCCCTAAGGATGAAATCATTGATGCTGGTACCCCAGGGTGCCGAGAGATGGTGGATCATGCGTCACTTACCGTTCTTCTTAGGTACCACACCTACCCCCGAGCACTTGAGGTTTGCCAGTGGTGGAACAGGGCTCGGACCGATGACACGTCCAGCAGCGCATTCCTTCTGGAGTTCAGCAGTGACAACAGCTGGGTGCATGTGTGCAGATAACAGGTTCGGTGCTGTGCTTGGGCCCCTGGGCCCTGTGTAGCCAAGGGAAACCCCCTTGCAGATGGACTGAAGCAGCCAGGATACCCAGGCCTTGTTGGGGTGATGAGCTAGCTCCTTCCCAAATTGGGAGTGTAGTAACGGTGTGCGACCCCCCTCGGGGTCACTGTTTTGTGCACCCTCGGCCCGGGTGCTCTCTGTGACAGCCAGGCTGCCAGCAAGTGTGAGAGAAGACACACTGGTCACCGAGTGTGCATCGGCCAAAGTTTTACCTCTTGCATAATTCCTTACCTGCCTTGGAATGGGTTTCGCGGTTGGCAGGTTTGGGTTGAACTCTGCTATTGGAAGTGTCGGATGGCGGTGGGCCCAGTCGTTTGTCGCGAAAGGACTGACCTTTCTTAGTGATAGCCCAGACGTATATGTCCTCCTTTATCGCGTCCCAGCGTAAAGAGGTGTCCTGGGCAGCGGACTGGCGGAACAAGCGGTCGTATTCCAGGCAGTGCTGTGGCGGGTGGTGAGCAAGCAGCATGATTAGTAGAGTCTGGTACTTGACCATTTCCAAAGCCGTGAGTGGAAAGTAGGAGAGGTGGCAGCAAAGATAGCGGTTCCAGGCTTCGAGCCAGGATGTCATGACGCGCTTAGGCTCCCTGTATTTAGGTTGGAACAATGGGGGAGTGTGCGTGGGCAGAAGCAGCTTGTTGAGATCCACATACTCACCTCTACGAATCTTTCTGCGGATCCGTGATGGAACTGGTGGAGCACAAGACACGGATGAGGATGGTGAGAGGCTGCTGGGCCCACGGTGTCTGTGCCGACGGTGGCGATGGTGAACGTGTTTTTTGTGGCCCCGCCTATGCCTAGAACCACTCGATGAACCACTGCTATCACTGGAGGAGTTGGAACTGCTGGAGCTGGTGGGCGTGTGGTGTCTCCGCCCCTTTGGGTGCCGGTCTGCACTCCGTCCCCGCTGGGGGTCCGCACGACTGTGTTGGGAGTGTCTTCTGGGGCTAGACCGCCATGGAGCTCGAGCTGTGTCACCACCAGTGACGTGGGCGTGGTCGCTGTCAGAGTTGCTGGGTGAGTCTGATGAGGAGAGGAACCGCGCCCTCTGCCGGGTCAGTGTTGTCGAGAGCGTTGGCTGTGGCTGGTCACACTGTCCTCACCACTGGTGCTCAAATGCCCTCTCTGCTGGGAGGAGTGATATTGGGAGCGCTGGCTCCGCAGCTTGTGAATGGCAACCGCTAGGTCAGTGCTCGAGTGTCTCCTTCGCTGGAAGGAGTGCTGGCTCCGCTGCCTGTGAACGCCAACCGCTGGGTCGGTGCTCGAATGTCTCCTCCGCCGGGAGGGTCTGAGTGGGGAGGACTCCTCGGAGTTGCTGCTGGAACCTGAAGAGGAGACATGTCCCCTTTGCTGGGCGGTGGCGCGGTGTGAGGTGTGTTGGGCGGGAGTATTGCTTGATCCAAGGTTCGGGTCTGGTTGGAGTTGAGAGGGCCGACTGCTGCGATGAGTAGCTCGGCTTGAGCATGAAGACCGGCTGCGGTCCCTGTTCTGCCGCGAGGGTCTCGGCCTCAGGGCGGCTGGCGGTGTACTACGAGCGCGCGCCGGCGGTGATTGTGGGGGCGCGGCTTCCATACTTGCTTTGCGATCTTTGCGTGGGCGGCTCCGGTAGCCCCTCCTTAGACTGGCTACGAGCTGGTGCCTGGATCCCCTCACGGACAGATGCCTGCTGTTCAGGTGGAGCTGCAGAACTTCGCGCGGTAGCTGGGCAAGTGTTCGTGGCGACGGTCTCCTCGGGCGCGGGAGTGTCTGCGTCGCTAGGCGTTGCCGTGGCGTCGAGGAACCGGCTAGCCTCGCGCTGACGAGACTAGACTGGACCTACCTTACGACCGCTTGCCATGTGCTAACTGAGGGGGGCGCATGCGCAGCAGACTCCAGATAGAGCCCACCATCACTAACCACAGTTTATTCCTAAACCGGTATTAGTTGAGCTAATGTAGAAGTCTTAGACTTCACACAATGCAGTCACAACTGAAAACAGAGTAGATGGTATTACCTGTCGTATGTGCTAAATGAAATAAATCATAGCTGTGCATCATACAAGGGAGCACACTCGTACTTCCCGACAATATAGGGCTTGTGTGGAGGAAATTTTACACGAGCAAACAATGTCAGTTCAAAGTATGTAGCCATCATCCATTGTACTACTGCATCATGTTCACTAGGTCATCCCTGTCTTGTCTCCTTACTTTTTATGGCATCCCTATATTCCACACTTTCTTAATTCGAAGAATTTTTTATTTACTTGTATGCTTTAGCGATGCACGTTTACAGAAATAGTTACACGCAAAAGACGCATAATACAACAGAATGCATTACACACAAGCTGGTGAACTGAGCGCATTTTGTGACATACCGGGACTATAATATTTTCCCGCAATGCTCAGAAACTGTAGAATGCGTTTGCGTTGGGTTTACATTGATACGACGCCCCACACACGAGATATTTTGTCCCCAATTGTTACCGCACTGAAGTGTGAGGATACGACTATGAATATAATTATCTTCTACTGTGCCATATGTTAGCTCTGTATACTAGGTAATTGGTCAACGAATAGTTGTGGTCATGTAGTTTTTGGGTACCTCCTGTGTGTTGTAAGCCTGAACCACCACTATAAGAATCCTAGTCTACAGGAGCACATTCGAGGCTAGAAATATTTCGCTGCTCACCTTTAGTTTGTGGACAATTCTCGTGAATGTGGTGTTGCAGGCTGATATTGCGAAATATTTTACTAGTTTTGTTGTAGGCTGTATCCGCCCATCTTCAGCCCTAGGAGGGACATATTTATTTATTTTCTCCTAATTAAACCTCGGCGCGCATGCACAGCGAGGGTTACAGTAGTTGGTTTGTCTGTCTGTGTGTCGACACTTATTCTGGCACTATAGGCTATGAGGCGGCCTCAGAACTACGCAAGCCTAAAAAACAAAAGGGCTGTGTTCTGAGAGATATGCCGTGAAAACAAGCGAAAAAGCCAATATGCATAATCGCATTGGACTTACTGCGACCTGATCCGCTCGCTCTGTGTACCTTGGGGGTTCAGGAAGTCGCAACAAGGGCGTGTATCAACTCCCGCATGCTATCTACTTGTGCAGCTAGCCTGTGTGAGACTCTCCGCGAGCTACTAGCGGGAGACCACGAGTAAACGCATACTAATAGCCCAGCCCATCAATTAGCGGTGTCACGCATGCACAGTTCGCCGAGGGTTTGCACTTCCGTGCTTTTCATTTTATATTGTGTCCTTTCCAGTTTGTACCATCTTTATGCACTTGCTAACACACTAACACTTATTAATCCTTAGCGCACTAAAGTAGGGTGGGTCAGGGATGGTAGAGTTACTTAAACGTTGTTTACAGTAATTTGGCGTGTGGGAGGGCTTCATAGTTAACCTGTTTAAGCAGGGAGATAAGGAGGATCCTGGGAATTATAGGGGCATCACTCTGCTGAGTGTGGGTGGGAAGGTCCTTTGTAAGGTATTGAACAATAGGTTGGTGAAGCATCTGGACGAGGGCAAAGCATTGCATGAGGGCCAGGTTGTGTTGATAATATTTATACGCTGAATGAACTCGTGCAGGGTACACTAAAGGAGGGTAAGGAGACATATGATTCTTTCTAGATGTACAGAAGGCATACGATAGTGTGTGGCGTAACGGCCTGTGGTTTAAGTTGTGGGAATTTGGGGTAAAAGGGAAGATGTGGATGGTCATAAACAAGATGTACGAGTATTCAAAGAGTGCTGTATTATTGTTGGATGGGGAACGGTCAGAGGCATTTGATGTGGAACAGGGGGTAGCTCAGGGATGTAGCTTATCTCCAATCTTGTTTTCCGTATTTATATTTATCAATGGGTTGTTGAGGGAGGTAGAGGAAGCTGAGATTGGGATTGATTTAAGTAGTGGTGGGAGACTTGGAGGCCTTTTGTTTGCAGATGACTTCGTTGGTGTTAGTGAGTCTAAGGATCAGTTACAGACGCTTATAGATGTGGTGCATGCTTACTGTCGGAAATGGAGGCTAAAGGCTAATGTGAGTAAGAGTGCAGTGATGGTGTTCGCTAGGGAGTCAGTGGATGGTGCTTGGAAATGGGGGGAGTATGTTTTGCCTAGAGTATCTAAATACACATACTTGGGTGATGATTTTACTAGTACTGGTGCATGGGATGTGCATATCAAGAATGTGTTAGACAATGGTAGAAGGAAGGTTAATCAGTTGCGTAGTGTAATTAATAATAGGGATATTAATTTGAGTGCTCGCAGGTTGTTGCTGCTGGCGGTGGTTAGGCCAACTTTAGAGTATGGGAGTGGGGTGTGGGAAGTCAATAAGACTCGTTAGAGTCCATGATGCTGAGAGGAGCTAAGGATATTCTTGGGTGTTCGACAGGCATGTAATGAAGCCGTTAGGGGGGATATGGGGCTTGATACGTTACAAGGGCGTAGGGATAAGAATAAGTTGAAGTGGTGGTGTAAGTTGCATTGCCAGGCAGTAGGTTTCCGAAGAAGCTTTTTAACCAGTAATGGAATTTTAAACCACGGAGAGGCAAGCAGAGGAAGTGTTGGAGTAAGGTCATTGATGATCTCTTTTCGTCATTAGGTCTTGACAAGGCAGAGTTGGTGCATGATATTCAAAATGGGGATTGCTCCTTGAAGGGCTTTCTGTCTATAGTAGGGGACAGTATTAATGAGAGGGAGATTAGAAAGTTTGAAGAGGGGAAATAGCAAAGTAAAGCTGTTATTGAAGACATTTAACGAGGTGGTAGAGTTGAAGTAGGAAAGTGATGCTGGGTCTAGATTAATGTTTAAGTTCAGGTCAGGCACGCATAGGCTAAATGAGGAACTGGATAGGCATAGGGGGAGGAAGGGGATGAAGGAGTGCCTGTTGTGTGATGATGAGTGTGAAAGTGTGAGTCATGTGTTGTGGGAGTGTCCAGTGTATAGTAGTCTTAGGGGCAATTTCTTAGTTGCCCTGCAGGGGAAGCTTGGGGATGATGGGTTTGAGCATTTCCAGTCGCTTGATAGTTTCAGGAAGCATCCTTTATATTGGGTAGTGAGCTGTGGGAGTATGAATTTAGTTCTTTGCTTGGCCTTGTTAAAGATTTATTCTGGATATTTGGGAGCTAAGAAAGGTTAGATTATACAGCGATAATCCCAGCGTACAACAGACCCAGTCTCAGATTGCGTCTGGGGAGTTGCAGGGTGTCGCTGGTGGAAGGGGTGAGTCGAGGTGTCTGGGAGGTGAGACAGACACCTCATGTTCATATGGTGTATATTCGTTTGTTGACGGTTCCGCCCATTGCTCTGGGTGCGTGGCCCTAGTGCTATGGCAGCCACCTGAGTATTATTATTAATCCTTGGTGCACATACATAGCGAGGGTTTTAAAGTGCTTGTTCTGTCTGTCTGTCTGTCTGTCTGTCTGTGTGTCAATGCTTATTCTGGCACTACAGGCTACAAGAGGGCTTATGAGTGATACCAGAACTATGCGAGCCTGAAAATATTAATGGAGATTTTCCTGAAGCGACTGCGTTCAAAGAAACAAGCGAAAAAGCCTATATGCATAATCGCACTGGCTTTACCTCGACCTGATCCTCTCACTCTGTGTACCTTGGAGTGAAAAGAAGGCACATCGTAAGTTACCTAGCCCCTGTCAGACTTCGTGAGCTACTACTGTGGAGACCGCGACTAACACATACTCATAGCCCAGCCCATCAATTAGCAGTACCGCACATGCCCATTGCACCAAAGGTTTGTACTTTAGTGCTTTTCTTTAATGTTTAATGTTGTTTCTGCAGGTTTCCACTCTGCTTGACAATCGATTGCGAGATATATTTGTAGATGACATCAAGGAAGAATACGAAGATGTTCGACAAGACTATAATGAATCTATGCAGGTACGTATGTATTAACATTTTTGTGACTGCTGCTGAATATATGCATGCACGAGACCATACTGCTTGCTTGTGACCAACTGACAAATTGCCTCATATATATATACGGGTGCTGCCAGAAACATTTCACTGCTTACCTATAGTTTGTGGACAATTATGCGAAAACGGTGGTTTTGGAGGTCCCTCGAAGTTAGGCTGATTTTGCAGCCATTTTTACTAGTTAAGCTACCAGTGAAATTTTTCTGGCCTCAAATATGCCTCTATAGACTTAGGTTTTATCTCATAGGTTTATGTAAAAAAAATCAGCCTAACTGTTTTTCTGAAGGACCTTCCTTTAGATGTTGATTCTGTCACGTGACTAACGCATACATCACGGGATCCTTATCAAATTGTTCAGCAATGATTGAGGATCATTTTGGTATCTGATATGAGTTTGGTTACAGCACAACTGAGAAATAGGCCAAAAAGTAAAAAGCGACCATTCTACTCTCTTAGCGCTTGGCACTGTCTCTCGCAACATTGCATCACACGCAACATTGCATCACACGCGCCCATATTATAAATGAAAAGCACTAGCAACATTGCATCACACGCGCCCATATTATAAATGAAAAGCACTAAAGTGCAAACCCTCGGCGAACTGCACATGTGCGGTACCGCTAATTGATGGGCTGGGCTATTAGTGTGCGTTTACTCGCGGTCTCCCGCTAGTAGCTCGCAGAGAGTCTTACACGGGCTAGCTACAGTAATAGATAGCATGCGAGAGTCGGTACACGCCATTCTTTGTGACTTCTTGTGCCTTCAAGATACACAGAGCAAGCAGACCCGGTCGAGGTAAGCCTATGCTAAATATAAGCGCATGCGCATTTTCCGCAGCAATAAAATGGAGACTACCAGCATTAGCCGTACAATGCTGGATGCGCTCTAGCTTTGCAACAGAGCATTTTCAGAGAAAACGGTTCGAAATTTCTGACCTTCATTGCCCGTTAAGTAGATCGTGTGCTTTGTGAGACGAACAAACACGAGACACACAGACACACACACACAGACAGACCCAACTACAGTAACCCTCGCTGCGCATGCGCGCCGAGGGTTAATAATACTGCATGTGCACATTCACAAGTTCAGAACGATGGGGACAACTAATCCTGTCTAGTAAGGCTCAACTTCCGCTGTAGACAGCAGAGCAGAGCGATTATGTGAGAGAGGCAGACATCGTCACGCTTCTGAAACTGTGGAGGCCGTGGAAGTGGATATATTCTAGGACCGTTCTCACTCCATGCTCCGTGGCATATGCCACAGTTGATGATGCCGTGAGATGTATCAAGACACTAGGACGGGGAGCATTGTTGGCTAAGTTCGACATCGCAAGCGCATACAGGGAGAAATGCGTTTTACGACAATGGCCGTACGATGCTGGTTTGCATACATTCCACTCAACATATGATCAGCAACGCTATTAAACACCACAGAAAATGGCAAGAGACAATTTCGCTATGAAGCTGATCAATTGATGTTCAAACTCCTGTCTCAACTACTGTAATGCAAAAGCAAAGTACTTGCTACTTTTAATGTTCTAGTTAACTGTCCACGATGTGCCACGACACGTCTCAACCGAAACCTTGCTTATGTGTAACTTTCAGACAGCCATGTGCGGATATCATTACATGTATGTAAAACACATTTCTTTGTTTGCTCCCACTAGCCACAATGCACAAGTACTACCATTAGGTCCCAGTTGGTGGAGATATGAACGTGGGCAAAAAATATTATATACACATGCGTAAAACTGTTATGCGTGTGTACTTCCAGTCTTGCACACCAGAGCCGTTGCTTAAGTCTAAGGTTATTTGCGTGACAGACAGACTGTTACCCAAGCAGTGGACCGATGAAAAAGTTCAGAAGTTGGGGAGCTTCGCACATGATCCTCATCAGTAGTCGAACCACCACCCTCTCGCACACACTTCCCCACATTCCCTCTTTAGTGAGTCATCATGCAGCAGTTCCTCCACCTTTACTACTATTAATGCCTCTGAGCTTTGTACCTGTGGAACTGGGAGTATTTCCGTAGTTCTTCCACCTACAACTTGGAAAAAATTTGACCTTCATGACACAACTGCGTTGTTGTGCAATAACACTTGAAAACAGCCAATCTCTAAGAGTAGGCCCAGTTGTTGTCTCACTAACTCTGTATTCTCAACTGACTCCCCAATTACACTCTAGTTTCACATCTTCTATTTTCCAGCCACACTGAGTGATGTCTAGCAATCATATTTTACTAGCAGTCTGATTCTACTTGTCTGAGACCTAACAGGCTCGCTGTCAGTGGTGCGGCAGAGCATCAAATGAGGGAGGAAACTCATCATGAAACTCAATCCTACTCCATTCAATCTGTATAGGGGTCCTACACCGTCCTGTGAGAGTGGCATGTACAGTACAGGAGGTATATCTAGAGTGCCATTGAAGCACATAGGCAAATCTCGACACTCATCACTGCCTGCACTATAGCTGTTCCTGCTACCACACACTGCAAATTCACTAACACTTAAGGCATGTGAGTATAGCATATTACTAAGTACGGTAGTACTTAGTATATAGGGATTGACATGGTACCTAGCATCATAGATGTATGGGGCTATGATAGGGAGCTTTGTTCATCTTCTTCTTATTCTTCTTCTTCTTCTTCTTCCTGTTCAACCAGCATAACTCAAAAACCGAAAGAGATAAAGCCATGAAATTTTGTAGGAATGTACATATCGATAACCACATGGGCAACGTCATACTTTTTTTTTGTAAACAATGTTGTTTACTGTAAACAACAACAAAAGTGCCCCAGGCAATACATTATAATGGACAATATACGTTATAATGGGCATACTACATGTGTCAGTGTAACTCACAATTGGTAAGAGTTATGTGAGCAAAAGTTTGTATACACAATGTATTCAATAGCCAACATCAAAATCACAACTATACATGTTTGTAAATAACAACAAATAGCCTCAGGCACTTTTCTTTAAATTAACTTCTTCACTTCTCAAACATTCCAATGGTAGAGATGAAACTTGGTACATATACCTATTATATCATTTCAATGACGATTACATGTTTCCATGACGACCGCATAATGTTCGATAAGGCCTCAGGCAATTTCTTTAAATTACTTCTTAACTCCTCAAACTTGCTTAACTATAGCACGCATGGAGGTGAAACTTGGTGCGCATGTGTATTACATCGTTTCCATGACGACCACAACAACAAATAGCCTCAGGCACTTTTCTTTAGAATTACCTCTTCACTGCTCAAACTTGCTAACGGTACCACGCATGGAGGTGAAACTTGTTGCGCATGTGTATTACATCGTTTCCATAACGACCACAACAACAAATAGCCTCAGGCACTTTTCTTTAAAAATTACTTCTTCACTCCTCAAACTTGCTAACTGTAGCACGCATGGAGGTGAAACTTGGTGCGCATGTGTATTACATCATTTCCATGACAACTACAACAACAAATGGCCTCGGGCACTTTTCTTTAAAATTACTTCTTCACTCCTCAAACTTGCTAACTGTAGCACGCATGGAGGTGAAACTTGGTGCGCATGTGTATTACATCGTTTCCATGACGACCACAACAACAAATAGCCTCAGGCACTTTACATTAAAATTACTTCTTCACTCCTCAAATTCGCTAACGGTACCACGCATGGAGATAAAACTTGATACGCATGTGCGTAACTTCGTTTCCATGACGACCACAACAATAAACCTCAGGCACTTTTCTTTAAAATTACTTTTTCACTCCTTGAACTTGCTAACTGCAGCACACATGGAGATGAAACGTGGTATGCATATCATTTCCATGACGACAAAAGGCATTTTTTTCTCTATTATTTTATAGGGGCTTGCCCCTTCCACAGAGATAATACGTAGTAGTATATAAAAATGAGTGGAGACAAGTAAATAAAAAATCATGCGGATTAAAAAAAGAGTTCATATAGGGATGGTATAAAAAGAAAGGGAGACAAGATAGGGATGGTGTTTGTGGAAGCACAGAGATGCTAGCGAGGAGTTAAGGACTCCCACAGGTCATTACAACAGCCCTATATCGTCGTATTGGTGCTTGACCACGGAGTAAAATCTTCCTCCTGCATACTTGAATTTGGTTTTCTCGTATTATATGTATGTTTTCCATGTAATGCAGGCACATTGTTTTGGTCAGCTGATTATTACGACAGTACACATAACTGCTCGCACCTTGATGTGCATACACTCCATGGGAATGTAGCATGACAAATCGATGAAACGATCATTATTAAGTAGTACAGTACTTAGCAATACTCTTTCATAACCTTCACTCCCACCGTACGACGATATAGGGCTGTTGTAATGACCTGTGGGAGTCCTTAACTCCTCGCTAGCATCTCTGTGCTTCCACAAACACCATCCCTATCTTGTCTCCCTTTCTTTTTATACCATCCCTATATGCACTCTTTTTTTAATGCGCAGGATTTTTTATTTACTTGTATATATTGTAAACGGAGGTGAAATGGGCCAGAAGCATTAGCTACCTCTTCCTTGCTTTATACTCACATTGACTGCCTCACATACTTTATGTAGGGTAGTGTGTGCTATAGTACAGTACTACAGTACTACCGAGGTATTGCCACATCCAGCTTTGCTTTTGCTTTTTGAGCCCTTACTTACTTCAAGGTGGAAAGGAACTGTTGTAGAGTTTTTGTGTGACGTCTCAGTTGTAGGAGGAGAGCAGGAGTATATATACGTATATGCTTGTGTAGTAACTTCTATACTGTACACTTGTGATTCAACTGAATTTGAGTTAATCTCATCCATGGTTCACTGTATTACTGCAGTATACAAGGTCTATCCAGTTTACGTAAACTACTCACGCAATGATAAAAATTCCATCATTCCAGCTAAATGCAATTAACTGCAGGTTTTGCTAGACTCTCTTTTCGAGCCGCGTTCGTCTGAGTCTGACCGGGGAGAGGGTCTGCGGGCAAGATATGGCTGTAGCCACAAACACCATTATCAAGTGTTTATTGCCTTAAACTGTTGTTGTTTTTTGCAAACTTGTTTTGCTTACATCTTATAGCAAGCCTGACCAACCACTTGGTCTAGGTATTTGGGCTTATGGGCGGGTGGGAGAGTACTCATGGATGCTTTTTCTCGATATACTACTAGGCGAATTCGGGGCATTTTTGCGAGTGAGTACAAGCCTCGAATCAGAGGGTTGACAAGGTTTAGTATTACGCATTAAACATACCGAGTACGTTTAATGCGTAAGTACAAAGTACACCTTCTTTCTGCAGAAAACAACATCCGGGTCCGCTTGCTCTGTGTGCGTTGAAGTCATAACAAAGGGCCTGCATTGACTCCCTCATGCTATCTACTGCTGTAGCAGCCCGTGTCAGACTCCCCGCGAGCTACTAGCGGGAGAACGCGAGTAAACTCATACTATAGCCCAGCCCATCCAATTAGCGGTACCGCAGTTTGCCGAGGGTTTGCACTTTAGTGCTTTTTCATTATAGGCTACCGCCAATTGAGGAATTGTTCACCTAAGTTTGTCAATGTTCAAACTTTTGTTTGTTTTTGTGCACTAAGACAATTAAGCACTGCACATTCTCTTTATAACTTACAGGAAAAACATTATATCAGCTTGCAGTCAGCACGTGCCAATGCCCTATCATTGGATTGGAAAGACTTTATTCCAGGTATTATTATACATTTGTGCACATTATGTATCACTAAGTACGGTAGTACTTAGTATAATAGGGATGACACAGGTTGTCCTGCACTATGCCCATACATTTGAGATATTGACATTTCACTTTCAGTTTCAATCAGATCCCACTTCTGACATATCAATCTGATTGGTATCGTCACAAAGAGCATGTACCTAAGAAATGGCTTAAATCGCGTAATTAGTATCAAAATGTAAACATTAAAAGTTTGTAAACAAGAACAAACAGCCTCAGCCAAAAACTTGTAAAAGGTGTCTGTGCCTATAACTTGCTTATTTCTGGTCCTGTATATAAGAATGAAACTTGGTACACTGATTTATTATGAAACTTGTAAATAATGTTTGTGCCTATAGCTTGCTTATGGTGGATCCTCTAACAACGTAACTTGGTACACTGATGTACCATGATAAGAGTTCGTTGAAATATTAGTACCAGTTTGTACACAACAACAAACGGCCTCAGGCAACAAAAACTTGTAAATGATGTTTGTGCCTCTAGCTTACTTATGGTGGGTCTTCTAACAATGAAACTCGGTACGTATAGGTTAACGCCTGGTTCTGAAGCAGTACTGGCGATATCCCCGAAGCTGTTTACTCTAGCACCCAAGGGGGTAGAGTAAACAGCTCAGAGGATATCCGGTACCGCTGAAGGTAACCAAGGCGTTAACCTATTTGTAGCCTAGCAACCATATTACGTCATCAAAATTTTGCTAGGGTTGTAAGAGAAACCGGTGGGCGAGACGACGGAAAGGAGGCCGAGAGCATGCTTGCGTGAGCGCATGCTGCCTGTTGACCGTTTGTTCGAGCGAGTACTACTTTAGCTAGCGGTGGAGCGTAGTGTAGCGTACAATTGTAGCGGGCTGCTGTAGCGCGGACCAAGCAGAGACTTTGGAGCCTCCTTCGTATATCACGTACGCTACAGCTCAGCTATGGTGCAGCTAAGCCTGACATTTTTGAACAGCGTGTTCAAAACAACACAAATGACGCACGGCACACAGCTCCAGCTCTCGCCTTTTTCTCGCTTGCACGCGCATCTTCTCGCTTACTGGCTCGCCACTTTTCCCTTGCCTGCCAGCTTGGGATGTAGCCACAGCCATCTACAGCTTACCAAGAAAGGTCACTGGCCATTGTTTGCTCATTAGATCGTTGTGTAAACTGTGGCTACCCAGCCAACAAATACTCATATTGACTCAATTAACGGCAGCCACTCATCCTCGGGGATATGAGTATTGACGTGCTGGCGGCTTGGGTACTGGGAATACTACTACGGCGGTGCCTTTGAAGATGAGCAAAACTAGGCTACAAACTGATTTATCATGGTAGGAGTTCATCGAAACAGAAATTACAAGTTTCTAAACAACAACAAACAGCCTCGGTGAATAAAAACTTGTATATACCTACAACTTGCTTATGTTAATTCCTCTAACAATGAAATACTGGCGTACCATAACTTTTTATCGAAACAAAAATTATAAGTTTGTAAATTAAAAAAAACAGCCTCAGGCAATAGAAGCTTGTAAATGGTGCTTTCCTATAACTTGCTTATGCTGGGTCCTCTAACAATAGCATACAGTAACCTTATGTACTTTGGGGGTGAAATAAACATGGGAACTACAACAAACTGAGGCAATAAATGCACTAGGTCATCCCTGTCTTGTCTCCTTGCTTTTTATGGCATCCCTATATTCCACACTTTTAATTTAAAGAATTTTTTACTTACTTGTTACATATATTTATATGCAGATGATCCCTTGGGTATTAATTGCATTCCTACGCAAACACAAACCACCCGCAACTGAACTGACTGTTTTTTTAACCCAGTAGAACCAATTTGAGTGTAGTTGCGTTTGGGTGGGTTCACTTTTGAATTCGTGTACATCAGGCGGAGTGAAGCGTTTTCCACGCCGTCATGGCTTTAGGATGACATCAAATGCATATGACTTCAGTTTTGTTCACACAAAGCAGAGGTTTGGCCTTGTCTGTAGCAGTTTATTAACCCTCGGCGCGCATGCGCAGCGAGGGTTACAGTACTTGGGTCTGTGTGTGTGTCTGTCTGTCTGTCTGTCTGTTACTCTCAATCTCACTTCTCGGGTGTTTGTTCGTCTCACAAAGGATACGACCTACTTAACGGGCAATGAAGGTCAGAAATTTCGAACGATTTTCTCTGAAACTGCTCCGTTGCAAAGCTAGAGCGCGAAAAAGCCAATATGCAAATACGCAACGGACGGGATGGCTTACCACAGTCCGATCGATCCGCGGGCTCTGCGTACTTCGGAGGCACCAGAAGATGCAACGCAGGGCGTGTATCGCCTCTCGCATGCTATGTAGTAGTGTAGTTAGCCCGCGTCAGACTCTGCGCGAGCTGGCAAGAGACCACGAGTAACAGCTAAAACTAAACCCTGCCCATCAATTAGTAGTACGGCGCATGCGTTTACTTACGCGTGCGCGTCACAGTGCGCCGAGGGTTTGCACTTCAATGCTTTTCATATGTACTAGTAGTTGGTAGCTGTATGGCACACATTGTTCTTGTAGTCCAACATTGCATTGTTATGGTACCACATTTTATGCATATCCACAATAATTGCTTGGTGCAAAATATCCATGGGAATGAAATTTAATAGATCTGACATTTGCTTGTTGGAAGTGGGAGCAAGCTAATCTAGTGGTCTGAACGGCGTGATTTATATCTATATTACATATTAGGCCGGTAAGGGTGGCGTGCGAATTGTACGTCCAGGTACAGGTCTAATTGCATTCCTGTACGAGGGTGTATAACCACAAGCCACCCGCAACCGGCCTTGTATAACTGGTTTGTAGCCCACTAAAACCGGTTTGAGAGTGGTTGTTAAAAAACGTTATGACAGGTTCACTTTTGAATTCATGTAAATCATGGAGGACTCGAACGTTTTCCTTGGGGAAAGACGTATATTTTATGCATACAACTTCAGTGCAAGAAACTATTGCTTCCGCTTCTAAACCCAGGCTAGAGATGAGCTGTGCGGACCATGGAGATATTCTCCCAGTGCCGCTCGTAGTGTCGCCCATGGCGGCTTGGCTTGAACAACCAACTAAACACAAGCATACACCATTCCTTATCCACCTTTGTTCCTACTGCTAAATTTACTCACCCTCATCTCTTTCACCATAATTTTTATGTACACATTATTGCCAATCTTTTGCATCATTTTACAGCAAAACCAAAGAAAGTAGGAATCACTGTTTTCAGAGACTATGATATAAAATCTTTATTGCCATACATTGACTGGAAACCGTTCTTTGATGTCTGGCAGTTGAGAGGAAAGTATCCTAACCGAGGTTACCCGGGAATTTTTAAAGACAAGGATGTTGGTACGCTGTGTGTTTAGCCATAAAGTGTGTTATGATGTTTTTACTTTTTTACGTATATTCTAGAATTTAAGCCACATTCTTTATACAACTTAAATTGTCCAGTACTGCAGTCCCTGGTTCGTATTACCATTTTTGTTTCCCTTCTTTTTTCTCATTTACATTGGCATGAGGCCACTAATTCAAAATCAATTCTTACCCTAAATATGCATACGTATCACACTTAAGAACGTAAATTAGAAACTCATAGGAAGTGTAGAATAACTTCAGTATGCTATGCAATATAACACATAATGGGCATGCATACCAGGTTTCATCTCCATGTGTTCTACAGTTATAAAGTTTGAGCAGTGAAAAGTAATTTTAAAGAGAGGTGCCTGAGGCTATTTACAAATAGCCCACGGCAAAATGTTATAAAGGGCACACATGTGTAGGTGTAACACACAAATGGTTAGAGTTTTACATAAACAAACTGAATGCACCGACATCGGAAACAACAAATAAGTTGTAAATAACACGTACTTTTAAAATTAAAAAGCACTGAAGTGCAAACCCTCGGCGAACTGCGCATGCGAGGTACCGCTAATTGATGGGCTGGGCTTATGCGTTTATCCAAGCTAGTAGCTCGCGAGAGTATGACATGGGCTAGCTATAGCAGACAATAGCATGTGGGAGGCCCTTCATTGTGACTTTTTGTGCCTTCAAGGTACACTAAGCAAGTGGACCCGCTCGAGGTAAACCTATTCAAAAGACACTCAAAAAAACTCGCCCGTCCTGGTCATCTAAAACAACCGCATGGCATCTTGTGGGTATGCGCATGCCCCGGCAAAACACTGACCAAGACGCCAGCGTAACCAGCAAGCGGGGGCACGTGCACGATCACACTTCACGTACGCTTGTGTAGTACGGCTCAGAAAGTATTATATTTTTGCCAGTTATACACTGAGCTTAAATACGATGATGGGTGAGAGCTAGTGGTTATACAACAGAACCATGACATGACCAACTGACATGGATTTGGATAACAATGGGTGTGAATGTTTATGCTCTGCTACACTCGCCCCTCCTTTTTTAGAAGTCTTGTAGAAGTCTTGGTATCCATATCGATCTGGCGGCACTCTGTGGCGTAAGGGGTACCTTCGCGGTGCAGGTGGTAGAACCAGGTGATCTACTGTAGGGGGCTGCCAGGTTGGAGACGGGGTCTGTTCTGTTACTGGAGATTCCAGGTTTGGCTGTATGCGGTGATGGAGCCGATTTATGTGAACATATCTATTTTTCTGGCCATTCGTGATTTCCACTGTCAGTGGACTCATCACTTGTTTGAACTTCCATCCTCCTTCCCAGTGTGGATCTAGCTTCCCAGCTGTTGGTCGAGACAAGCAGACAGTGTCTCCCTCACGAAAAATCCGGGTCATGGTGTTTTCATCATAGTTAGATTTTGTGTTCTGCCGCAATTGTTAGGTGGCACTCAACTAGATCTCGTAACTCTCAGAGTTTGCACTCCAAGCTGTCTGCGTAGGTTACTGTGTTGAACGCAGTGGAGGGAGGGAAGATCGGTGCAGATGGATAGCGTCCAAACATCAAACAGTTGAACTGTGAGTTGCCGTTCGGTATGCGAACAAGACTAGCGGTAGAAAACGTTCCCAATCACTTTGGTGTTCAACGTAGCTTCGTAGCAGCTTTAGAAGCGATCTGTTGAACCGTTCTACCATCCCATCTCCTTGGGGGTGGTAAGCAGTTGTTCGAGATTTCAGGATGCCCAGCTCTTTCAGTGCGCTCTGTAGAATTGTACTCTCAAAGTTTCGTCCTTGGTCAGAATGAAGGATATCTGGGCATCCATATGTAGTAAAAAGCTTAACAAGCTCCCCTGTGATGCGAGCTGCGGTCTGGTCTGGCAGTGGTATGGCTTCGACCCACTTTGTGAAGTAGTCTTGCACAACTAGGAGGTAACGATTATTGTTGGTTGAGACAGGTACCTCCAGAATGTCTGCTGCTGTCATCTACCGGAGTCTTCCAATTGGGTTGTTTGTTAGTGGAGCCTTAGGGGGAGATGCAAGTTTTGAGGCTTGGCATGTCTGACAGTTTCGACAAAATTTCCGTACATCCGTTGCGATACCAACCCAGTACGCTTCTCTTCGGAGTCGTTCCAGGGTCTTTTCAATTCCCTGGTGCCCTGCTGTAGGGAGGTTGTGGCATTGACGGAGGGCTTCCTGGCGTAAGCATGGTGGTAAGATTGGGAATGTACTTCCTCTTGCAAGGGCCCAGGTACATACTTTCGGCACAGAACGCCATTTTGAACTCTGAGCTGGTTCCATAGCTGTTTGTAACGCTTCAATTGGACTCCAACACTTCAATTGGATACTTGCTACACAACCTGCCGCTTGGACGTTTATTCGTCTTCCGTAAGGCCACTAGCAGGGTAGAAATGGTTTTGTCTGCTCGTTGTGCAGGCCCAATGTTTGCAAGAGATTTCTGCTGCAAGATGACGGTAGTTGCACATGGGCACCGTGAAAGAGCATCTGCGTTGCTGTTGTCATTCCCTTTTTTGTAACAGATAGCATCATACTCTTGAATGGTCAGAGCCCAACGGCATAACAGGCCTTCCATCTTTTGTGCAGAGAGCCATTTCAGAGGGGCATGGTCACTGAATATTTTGAAGTGACGTCCCAGCAAGTAGTGGCGAAATTGTTTGAGTGCATAAACAACTGCTCGACGTTCTTTATGGATGACACTGTAGTTTCTCTCAGCAGGCTTCAAACTTCGACTGGCATAAGCTATTACATGTCCGTCCTGCTCGAGGATAGCTCCCAGTCCAATGTGACTGGCATCCGTGAAGACAATGAACTGTGCTGCACTCTCTGCGAATTTTGGGTATGTTAAAACGGGGGCCTCACCTAGTTTTGTTCTCAGCGTATTGAATGCCTTGGTGCATTCTGGAGTCCAATTGAACAAGGCTCCCTTCCTTGTAAGTGCACTGAGAGGTTCTGCAATATCCGAAAACCTGGGGATGTACCGGCGATAGTATGACGCCAGGCCAAGAAACTTCCTAGATCGGTTGGTATTGGCCAAGAAGTGATGGCTTCAACTTTTTTGGTCTCTGGCTCCATGCCCTCACCCGAAAACACATGGCCCAAGTACAAGACCTTTGGCAGTCCAATGTGACATTTCTTTCCCCTCAGAGTCAAGCCGGCAGTTGAGAGGCGCTCGAACACAATTCGTAAATGCTCCTTGTGAAGTTGGGGTGTCCGTGAATGTATCAGGATGTCATCGAGGTATATCAGAATGAAGGGTAATACTCAGGTGGCTGCCATAGCACTAGGGCCATAGACCACGCACCCAGAGCAATGGGCATCAGAATGAAGGGTAATAGCCATTAAATGCTGAAAGGAACTTGGCGCCCCAGTGAGCCCAAATGGCATTCTGCAGAACTGATATAGGCCCATTGCGGGTCCTGGGCAAAATGCTGTTTTCTCTCGGTTAGATTTATTCACTGGTAACTTCCAGTAGCCACTTTGAAGGTCGAGTGTGGAAAATATAGTTGAACCCGCAAGACGATCTTGGACTTCATCTGGTAGAGGCAAGGGGTAAGCTTTTTTTTTTTGTAACCACCACGAAATCATGGATGAGCTCCAGGTCTCCGATCTTCACCGGTGCTCGGACACGATCCAGTATTCTTAAAGGATCTCCCGACACCGTAACTAACTGTATTGGTTCAGCGCTGGCGACCGACGGCATCTTGGGTGCTTGCGACAGCACTTCCTGCCGAACTAACGACACAGACGATCCGGATTCCAACATCATCTCCGCTTCCACACCACCGATGATCCCCCTGGTGGTGGCCGCTTTATTCCTGACCACGGCCACCACCACGACGCCGGGCTTCATTGACGTGCGGGGCGTCCGTTGCCCTCCCCGGGCGCCCCTCAGCGTCATCGAGGTCTGGCATGGCTAGGTCCAACAACTTCTTGAGCTCGTGCACAAAGACGGATAGCACTTCCCCGGGGCACAGCTTGCAGTTGTGGAAGGCATCGAGGGAGACGAACCCCATAGGTGTCATAGCCTCAAGAATCCTGGAGCAGGCTGTCCCTTAATCGCTTCGCTCACGTTCTCCTAACTCCAGCCAAATAGCGAGGGCTTCTCCCTCGAGTAGAGTCGGCAGTTTGAGAGCCTTCGTAGCATTGTTCCAGTTGTTCACCGTACTGCAGATGTCGAACCGCTTGAACCACTCGGTTGCGTCCCCGCTGACGAAGGGCTTCGGCAAGCAGACGTGGCGGTCAACCATCCTCTGCTACCAGTGTAGTACGGCTCAGAAAGTATTTTTGGCAGTTATACACTTAGCTTAAATAGGATGATGGGTGAGAGCTAGTAGTTATACAACAGAACCATGACATGACCAACTGACATGGATTTTGATAACAATGGGTGTGAATGTTTATGCTCTGCTACACTTATTTCAGTTTCACACCATATCTCTGGAACGCAGCTGTTTCAGAAAAATCGCCAAATTCATATCCATGTCCTCGTTGTTCTGAAGCCGATGGTGCCACTCATTGGCCTCATCGTAGACGGTAGTGCCAGAATAGCAGTGGACAGACAGGCAGACAGACCAACTACCGTAACCTTTGCTCCGCATGCGCGCCGAGGGTTAATTACTTGTTCACTTCACAAACTTCCTAATGGTAGCACGCATGTAGACGGAACTTGGTACGCATGAATATGACGTCATGTCCATTACGACAACGTGTTTGAATACATGTTTGTAAACAACAACAAGAAGTAGCTTCAGAAATTACTTCTTCGCTCCTCAAAGATGTTAACGGTAGCGCGCATCGAGATGGAACTTGGTACGCTTGGCTATTACATTTTTCATGACCTGACCACATATTGCAACAAATAGCCTCAGGCATTATTCTCCACAATTACTCCTCAAACTTGCTAACGGTAGCACACATGGAAAATAAACTAAGTACACATGCGTCTTACCTCATTTTCATGATAACCACATATTGTTTGAACAACAAATAGCCTGGTATTTTTACTTAAAACTTGCTAATGGTAGCACACATGGGGATGAAAACATGGAAAAGAAACTTAGTACGCGTGCTTATTACATCATTTTCATGATAACCACATAATGTTTGAACAACAAATAGTCTTAGGCATTTTTCTCAATTACTTCAAACTTGCTAACGGTAGCACGCATGGGGATGAAACGTGGTACGCATGCATATTACATCACTTGCATGACCATCTGAACAACAAATGGCCTAATTAATTACTTTAAACTTGTAAACAGTAGCACGCTGGGAGATGGAACTTGGTGCATATGCACATTACATCATTTCAATGATGATTATGTTACACAAGCATTTTTCTTCCTTATTAACTTTAGAGGGCTTGCTCCCTTTCACTGAAATATATGTAGTATACAATAATGTTTGGATGCATCTATAAATAAATTTAAAAATCCGCAAACTTAACATATGGGAATAGTGTAAAGAGAAAGGCAGACGGTGCGATACAACAAGCATAGTTAACAAACAGTGCTGACACCCCAACCCCATCACACAAGTCCTGTATTGTTGCCTAGGTGAAGTGTTGAACATTCACTAGTACAATAATAATGTCAGGACCTATAGCAAAAAGTCAAGCTACTGAGTAATCAACACCGTTTTAGAGTCTACATTAGGTTTTAGAGTGGAACTGTACAATCTCAGTTGCCCTTTTAGCTTAGCCTAGAGTGCTGCTCTTTTTCCTTTGAGAAATAAATCGGACTAGGTGTAGTTTTGGTGTTTGCATTTGCTTAGGCTTGTCCATCTAAATATTACCCCAATCTGTTTGTATATTATGCTGAGTAAGAGTGTACTGTGACATAGCACAGTTATTGAAGGGTTGCCATTGTCTTGCGTTGTTTTTTTAACCCCTGCTGAGTTGCTCTGGTGGTGGGTGAAGTGCTCGCCAAAAGTGCAGAGTGTAGTCGGTTCCACTGTGTACAATGGTTACTACCTTATAAAGCAAATGAACAAGCTGATATGAACTTTCCTAGGCCAGTTCTGTTCATGATTGTGACCCTGGTTGTGTACATCTCTGTGTACATTCCTTCGTTAATTATGCTTGCCTTTATGTTTACTTGACAAGTCCAATTCTTTAATGTGCTGTATTTCAGGTTTTGAGGCAAAGAAAGTGTTTGATGAAGCCATACATGTTCTCGATACGATATGTCAAGATAAACCCGTGAAGGCTCATGGAGTTATAGGTCTCTTTCCTGCGTATTCTCTCGGTGATGATGTAGTGGTTTTGAATGATATGAAGACCGAGAGAATAGCAACCCTCTACGGACTTAGACAGCAAGTATGTGTATGAGTATGTTTCATAGCTAGTGTCATTTTGTGCGTAGCTCAATTGAATGAACCTGGTCATCCGTGGTTTGCAATGGTCACACATTTTATATCTTTGCACATCCATATGGCTTAATCTCTCCACGAGCACCACCAATTTGCGGACAAGTAACAATAATGTCGTTTACTGACATAATTTACAGAAAGTGTCACATAGGTCATTCGGGTGTTAAAAAACCATGATGGGCTTTTTTGAGTGGCAGATCTGTGTCATAAGCTTAAGACTGTCGGTGCACTCATAATCTGTACGTAATATTTTTGTCTCTCATCCTTACCTTGCACCCATAGGAAGAAAAGGAAAGAGGGGACTATTTACTGCTGCCTTTCAGACTTTGTTTGCCCAAATCACATTGAAAAAGAGGATTACATTGGAATGTTTGCTGTCTCTGCTGGATTTGGAGTAGAACAACTTTGTGCCAAGTATGTTTGTAATACAATGTGAGCTTTTTGTGTTAAGACGACATTTTGTCTTCTAGTAATATTTAGTATACTGTCAGCAATGGCTTATTGGCCAATAACTTTATTACAACTTCCTTGGCTGCACCTCAGAAGCTACGTATGAACAATAGTCTTCCCACGCCTGCAGATGAGGTGGACTAGCTCAGCCAGTAAAAGTAGCTTTGCAAGGATTGTGAGTGCATATAGGTATGAACCTGCCCTATTTGCGACTACATGTGGTATGTCATCAGGGGAAAGCAAGGATTGACATAGGAGGCTACCTACCCAACATGAACAGTCCTATGGTGTCTCTGGATGGTCTCCCTGAATTTATCCTTCCTTGCCTGGGATACCTCAATTCCAAATTCAGATGGCTCATTCTCAATTAACTGATCTGTCTCGATCTCTGTTTCGCGATATAGCCAAATAGCATGAATGGTAGCATCCAAGTGTGGTGTATAGCAGAAAGTTCAACATCCTCGCTCTGAAACAAGAGTGACAGTCTGTTCATGTGGGGGAGAATCATGCTTAGTAACTTGCAGCAGGCAATGAAATAGTATGTCTTCACAGATTTAACCAACCCAACAGCTCCTGGTTCCTTACGTTCACTAGCCTCTCACTCAAGACAAGCAATCAACGATGGCATTGTCCGTAGAATCGATGATATTGCTGCTTCATGCGAAAGCCACCTGACATCTTTGGCTTGTTTGAGCTTGATTATGGGATCATCTAGCACCGCTTGAATAGCAGCTATTCGAACTGGAGTGTTGTGATAGAACAGGAACAATCTTTGTATATAGTGTTGCCATAAACCTAACAAGGTAAGGAATGCCATCTGTAGCATGTGCAGCAGCAAGCGCAAGTTGGTGATTGACACAGTGAATGCTGATCAATTTTGGGAATCGGTCTTTTAACCGATAGCGACTCCCACTTCTTGCACCGGTCATGACAGGAGCGCCATCACTGCTGAATCCCCTTAGTTGATTGACATCAATTGATTTTTGCTCAGTGATTTTACCAAAGCAGTCTCTATGCTGTCGGCAGTTCCATCTTGGAGGTCAACAATGGCCAAGAAGCTATTCATGACGTCACCTGTTGGCAAACATAACGCACAACCTGGACAAGCTGGTTGAGGACAGAATTGTCAATGCACTTGTCAGTCATGATGGCGAAGTAGCTACTTGAAGCCAGATCTTGAAGTACGTTGTCCTCGATTTGAGCAGAAAGAATTTGCAACAACTCTCCAACTATCTGTCTACTGTGGTAGTTGCCATTCTCACCAACATGAAGTTCTTTTAAGTAGTTGCAACCAAGGCTAATGGCTAAGTCTAACAGAGACTCGTACTTCCTCCTTAGCTAGCCAATTAATAATTTTCATGGCACCTATAACAGCCTTTCTCTGAGCCGTTACCTGTCGGTTAAAGACCCGTGCGATTCCACCATCACAACTCGACTACCTATAGAGCATTTCCTTCTCGATGGCTTCACGATGCATAGCTGATTTACTGTGCCGAGCTATCACGTCTTTACAAATGCTTGTGCGGGCTTCGTGGTCCACGTGCCTGCATCAGTCTTATTAATGCACCAGGAGCACAGCAAACCAATCACCTTGCCTTCATTGTCTTCAACAGGCACGAGGAACTGGTATTCATCCGCCAACGCGCAGGGTGGTAACCTTGTCGGTGCTGTGCTAGCCGTTTGTAGTCTGATGTGGAGGGCGATGCAGAGGAGTCTGAAAGAGCTCTCTCCCTGCCTGCCCGCGTACGCTGTGCCAACCCATGTTATGTGTATAGTAAGGCGTGTGATCGCGTGATTGCACATGTTACCGTAAATACAAATTTTCTATCCAAAATAACAGTAAAGTGTGGACATCAAGAGCAGCGTATCGCCACTGTACCGTGCTTTGGCAACATCCCTGGAATAGGATCTAATACGCTTGGGCATGCCGTACAAGGCAAAGAAAGCCACTACACATAGTAGCGAAGAACAAGTCGTGCACCAATTTCTGAGAAAATTTTTTGACACCTACGCAACGTAGGCACATGAGTTATAGGTTTGTTTATCCTGGCCGTAGGGGAGGGCAGCGTAAACTGCAACATACCACCTATAGATGCTTATTTGGTTTTTCCCTTTGTGACGTGAAACTCACCAATTACCACAGTAACGTCATGTCACCAAGCAAATATCATTTCGAAAAGCAACAATGGCAGACAAAACCAAACAGCTTTTTTTGTGCTTCAAGAATGCAAGCAAATGTTAGGAAAGCTTTTGGTTTGTCATTGCTGCCAGAGAAGAAGCACTGCAAAGAGCCAAGTAGGATTGTTTGCTGCCACACTTGAACCACTTACGAAAAGGACTAGTACCAGTCATCATTAGAGGTGTCTGTATTAAAGCACCACAGAGAACACGAGTCAACCATACAGATTCTCTCTCTAGCACTGCCTAGTCACATTAGTGTTGCTCTGCTCCTATGAGAAAGCAAAAGTAAACCTGACAGTGCTACAGAAAGTTGCTCACTAAAAAGGTTTTTTCCTGAGGCCGTTTTAGTCTGGGAAAACAATTTTCCCTCTCGCAGCTGTGAAATGAGAATTTCAACACTGATATTACAGTGCCGTAGCCACAGAGAATTCAGTTTTCTTTACACCTACTATTGACACCTGCGACATGTCACGGCTTACTAACCATAGCCCTGTAGCTTGTTTATTCTGCACAATAAATCTAGCATCATCTTAGCGATAGCGATTAATGTATTGTGTGCGTCAGTAACATAATCTGTTTTTCTTCAGATATAAGGAGCAGAATGATGACTACTCTATTATAATGCTTAAAGCAGTTGCAGACAGACTTGCCGAGGTGCAATTTTGTTTCATTTTTATATTCGTGTTGTTACCAAGATTTATACATGTACTAGTTAAAGGACTGTTGCGAGTATATTTCCGGAATTATTAAACGATGTGGTCGAAAAGCTAATAGGCATAGCGAGGTTCCTTACCAGGCTTCGAGACCACATCCCAGAAGTTGCATTTTTTGAGATTTACGTCAATATTTCAGCCACGATGCTATACACACAAGATACATATCAAAATCATCTACTATCTTTGCTGATCAAAATGAAAAGCACTCAAGTGCAAACTCTCGGCGAACTGCGCATGCGCGGTACCGCTAATTGATGGGCTGGGCCTATTTACTCGTGATCTCCCGCTAGTAGCTCGCGGAGAGTGTGACACGGGCTAGCTACAGTAGTAGATAGCGGCAGTCGATACACGCCCTTTGTTGTGGCTTCTTGTGCCTCTGAGGTACACAGAGCAAGCGGATCAGGTCGAGGTAAGCCAGTTCTAATTAGCATATTGGCTTGTTCACTTGGTTTTCACGCCATAACTTCTGAACGCGGCACTTTTACGAAAATCGCTTATTTTTAAATAAAGCCAGTGTAGCACTGAACCCGCTGGTGTCGCTGTTTTACCTGTTTGTTGCGCGTCGTGGCAGAAAACGTGGTAACAGACGGACAGACAGACAGACCAAGTACTGTAACCCTCGCTGCGCATGCGCGCCGAGGGTTAATGAAAAGCACTAAAGTGCAAACCCTCGGCTAACTGCGCATGCGTGGTACCACTAATTGATGGGCTGGGCTATTAGTGTGCGTTTTCTCGTGGTGTCCCTCTAGTATTATTAACTGGAGGAGAGTCTGCCACGGGCTGCTACAGTAGTGGATAGCATGCGGGAGTCAATACACACCCTTCATTGTGACTTCTTGTGCCTTCAAGATACACAGAGCAAGCAGACGCGGTCGAGTTAAGCCTGTACTAATTAGCATATTGGCTTGTTCACTTGCCATACCTTTTGAATGCAGTATTTTTACCATTCGAACACAATTTTCATGATAATCGCCAGTTTTAAAATCAAAACTAAAATTAGCGCAGAACCTGTTAGTGTAGACTTTTGGCGGTCTTGTTGTGGCTAGTGGCAGAAACTGGGAACGGATACACACACAGACTCACAAACCAAGTACTGTAACCCTCACTGCGCATGCGCGCCGAGGGTTAATGATATTAAGTCATGTGACTGGTGGCAACAATGGCTGCTGAATGGAGGTCCATCAGAAAATCAGTTAGACTGATCATTTCCCTATTAGTGGGAGTTACAAACTGAAATTTGATATGCACAATCTTAGTCTACAGGGGCATCTTTCAGTACAGAAAACACATAAGGGCCGTGGATTCAGCAAAATGGTTTGTCCCCCGGGGTTAGGCTGATTTGGCAACCATTTTTACTAGCTCCCGGATGTATTTTTAACATCCCAAATAAATGTACTATAGACCCATCTTCATGATGCTGAACATCACAAAGAAGGCAGGATACGAACTCGAATAAAGCAGCCTGTGATCTTCTGCACAATCCTGGGGAGCAGAGACCATGTTCTTTGGGGGGGAAACCGCAGCATGGAAAGCGGTGCTCAGGCCCTGTGTAGAATGTTTAGCGATAGGACTACGTAATAGGCTCTCATCGCACATGTCACGGGACCCATTTTTACTTCATCACCTTGCAGCCGAAACCGACTCGATTGTGATGACAAGCTCGGTTTTCCGCTTCTCTTCGCAACATTTGGGAGACAATGTAGAGCGTTTATTTACTAGTAAAGATGGCTGCAAAATCATCCAAATCACCGATTACACACAAGCCTTATGTGTGCTGTGATATTTGTCGCAGTGATAATTTTTTTGCTGCACTCAAAAATGTGTCTGTATACTAAGATTGTGCTTATCGAGTTTGAGTTCTTAAAGGGAATGTGTCAGGACATAAGGGTGAATTTTTAAATACTGAACAATAGGTCCCAGTGCAAGAATGCAATTAAGTTTCCATTTTCAGTAACAATTTAGCCCTTTATACTGCTTAATTCTGGAAATAATCAGCTTAACCGATTTCGGAAGGACCTTTATTCAGCAGCCACTGTTGCCACATGCCAGTCGCATGACTTCATATGAACATGATCATTTTGATCAGCAAAGATAGTGGATCATTTTTATATGTATCTTGTGTGCGTAGAATATGGCTCAGTAGTTGACCTAAAATACAAGTTCCTGTCTCTTATTTGCACTGTTTATCGTGTTTCTCTGTAGCATTAGTACTGTACGGTTTTTCTGCCCAATTATCTAGGCCATGCTGAATGTCAGTAAAATTTGAACGTTGCTTATTAATTAGATCTTGCATCACATGACAAAAGTGAACACTAGGCTTTCAAATGGAGATCTGGCACTCTGTCACAAGAGACCAAGAATCACCCGCAGAGTCCGTGTAGCACTACGTTGTCAATGAGCATTTTGACCACTAGACTGGAGTATTGGTTTGGGATCTTTTTTCTACTAACGCCTGTGCGCAGGCTAATGCATGAAGTGTGGCGAAAATTCATGTGTGTCAGTCATGAAAAAGAAACAAAATGGCGGACTTGGCAGCAGTAACCATAACACACTCTAAATTTCGTAAGCAATTTAGAATAGAATAGGGCTTTTTTATCATATTCGAGCCTTAGTGTCCTTTATTGAGCGTGCAATAGAGCCAGATGCGCCATTTAGCGGAGCAGACGGACAGACTTACAAATGAAGTATCGTAGACCCCTTTGGTGCATCCCCGTTGAAGGTAACTAACCCATGTGTCCTGGTCAAGCCAAGCAAGTATACTTTCACACACGGTACAGTATAGAACACATAATATAGTTGAACGAAAGCCAACTTTGAGAGTTATGTTGAGCTGTTAACATGCATAATCCACACCTATATGTTAGCTAAAATTGGCTGAGCCCCTGAAGGGCATGTGGCGACACTTCTCCTGCCGATGAGTTGGACTTTGCAGTCTTTGTGATCGGCGTTGGGGGGAGGCGCAGTGGTAGCCATGCACAGTAGAGTAATCTGTTTGTTTTTGAAACAAATACTCCCCTAGTACTTTCAGTGATGTTTGGTTAAAACGGCTTTGAAAGACTGCAGCATCTACTGTCTTAGTTTAGAACACCGATAAATTTTATCACCGTGTATTACATTTGTATGATCCTTCTAGGCTTTTGCTGAACACCTTCACGAAAGAGTAAGAAGGGAATACTGGGGTTATTCTCATGAAGAGAGTCTTACGGTTACAGACCTTCACAAGCAGCATTATAAGGTGGTATATGTTATTAAGATACCAGTATTGGAGCAGTATATACATTCAACCTTAAATGGCAAAATCAAAATGGGCAGTTTGGACACACACACACTTTTTTGCAACCTAGGCACATGCACGGGTGTATGCTAGACTGTTAGTTGAGTATAAATTGTAGCCTGCACGCCATAGAAATCAAAGCTTCCGACAAAAGCATATTTGTAGTAACCGCAACCGCCACTGAACATTGCTGACACTGGTGAAGTATATTCCCGGTATACCAGCGTTAATTGCATGCCAGTGGCCTATACCGCTCGGGCAGAGCAGAACTTCGTTCAAAACAGTGCGCTTGGCAACCTCAGGAGCTACAGACGCTAGTTTTGTCGCTGGTTGGGTTTTTGCTTCCTTGGGGACTTGTTTTTTCAGGCTCTAGCTAATTCTCGCTTGCGCAAATGCTGACACGTAGCTGTCGGGAATATGGCACGCAATTCATACTGTTTCGAAGTGGCGACACGGGATTCTGTCGGAGTAGTCTTGTGGACTGGCTTCATGAGACTACTGTGCGAGTTTTCTAGGCTACAAATAGGTTAACCCATGTGTTTGGAAGGCATACGGGTCTATACCCTTGGTGCTTATCTGTACTGCCCTCGTTCAGTACTTATAATCACCTAGGGTATTGCCCGTATACCTTCCAAACCCATGGGTTTCTGACTTGAGAACCATGGATTATGCACGGGTTTACTTAGCAGCAGATCCGCTGAGTCAGCGGACTGACGCCATTTTCACATGAGTAGATTTAAGGATGGGACAGCATTAGTATCTACTCAAATGATACTTATTACAAGGTTTTAACTAACATGCTCAACAGCTGTTCTCTATATATAGGGTAGATGCCGAGTCCAGGAAACTACGCGCATTAGAGAGCCGCAGGGCCCTGAGCTGTCGGCGTTCGAGTGCAGCGAGGTTGTTACTAAGGACCCCCAAGGCGCTCTAATGCGCGTAGTTTCCATTACGAGGCGTCTAACCGGTTTAGAGCTATGGGCTATGGTTCATTCAAACCAAACGCGCGTTGGAGAAATGGCGACAGGCTTCGATATCTTCGTAGAGACTGTCCGCGACTGGCTTGAAGAACCAGACAACGATGAGGCTGAGCCTGAGCCTGTTCTCCTGGCAGCAAGCGACGAATACGAGTCCTCACAAGACCCCGCCCAACAACCAAGTGCGCGTGCGCAACGAGTCAACATTGCCAGCCACTCCCACTCCCGCTTTGCTCCTAATGGCAACACATGGTAACGCATTCATTCAAACCAAACGCGCGTTGGAGAAATGATGACAGGCTTCGACATCTTCGGAGAGACGCGAGCTGTTCTTGCCACTTTCAACCTCAAGAAGTAGCCAGGAGACAACAGAGTAGCTTAGTCTCAGCATCATACATGGTGAAGCACATGGACTGAATACGAGTGCGCATGCGTGAGAATTATAGTCTGGCGGACTCTATTTCTGGACTCTGCCCGAATTAGAGTCCGCGCATGAACCAATCAGATTGCGCGATTTAAACTACTTAGCTCTACGCTTGTGCAGCATTGTAATGCATCATGGAATACATACATACAAATTGGTACACTTGAGGCAATTTGTGCCCAGGCTTTATCTGTTGAGTCTTACTTAAAACAAGTCAGTAAGTAGCCTAGTCTTTTAGTGTACGGTGTAGGCATTGGGATGCCTTTGAATGGCAGAAATGACTGTCAGGCCCTGAGACCCTTAGTCCTATCTGTCAGTGTTACATTATTTCCTAGGGAATTCGCCCTGCTCCCGGATATCCTTTTCAACCTGATCATACTGAGAAAAGAACACTGTGGAACACACTTTGTGTAGCAGAAAACTGTGGAATTCATTTGACTGAGTCATTGGCCATGTCTCCAGCAGCATCTGTGTGTGGAGTTTACTTATCTCATCCTAAATCACACTACTTTTCTGTTGGAAAGTTATGCCATGACCAAGTAAGTACAAAACCTGTTGTACCTAGGTGTACACCTAGCGCACATTAGCGTACTGTACAACACGAAGGTAAAGTCAGTTCCCATTCATCTTACCACAGACACCCCCATTCATATAGCGAGGTGAACCCGGGTTGAATGCGGAATGGTCATTTCACATTAGTAAAAAAAAGGGGGTCGAGCCCGGGTTAGTATTCAGGGTTCGACCCTCCCCACAGGTAGGGTTCAACCCAGTTTTCTGCAAGTACGCGCATGCGCTAAATCGTTGAACACTGAACTTTTGGGTGTAGGCCTAGACAGCTGCATACTTGGGCTGACAGGGAGGTCGCCCTGTTGCTGGAGGTTTGGACCAGTGAGAACAACTCTGAGGAGCAGTAAGGAACGAGGTACCATTTCGGGAAATAGCTGAGCAACTGACAGCCGCAGGGTACGAGCGTTTTTCCAAGCAATGCCGCCCACACACACACACACACTCACAAACCAAGTACCGTAACCCTCGCTGCGCATGCGCGCCGAGGGTTAATTAGAGTTTGTTCACTTCGGCCATTTTATTCAGAACTAGGGCATCCAACTAACATCCGCTGTCTCTGCATCGATGGGCGGCGCTCTACCCCTACAACAGGTGTTCTAGCCATTTGCAGTGAAGCAGAAGGTATAGCCTGTTGTCGCGCACGGCTTATCAGTGGGGCGGGCACCTCCTGTGATTGTGTTATGCTGTTTCAGCTTTGACAACCACCATCACTGACATTCCCTTAAACAAGGTGGAGTGTGACTGGGGCCACGACCAGGGTCCAACACTGGACCTACTGCTTCCTCTTACTCACCCCACCTAGATGCATGGCAAGAGAAGCTAGATGGGGTCTCTACCATCAACCAACAACTTCGCATACGTATATACAAAAATTATTGCGTTAAATCAGTGACAATTCGACTTCTGGGAAGACTCCTGAGGCTCACTCCTAGTGGTGAGTGGCTCTTAGCGCAAACTAATCTAGCAACTGTGTAAAATTATGCATGCAGTCTACTTGCCCTGTTTCAAGCAGCAGCCGCTTGGCACGTCGCTATCATTCGCTGGAGAACTGTCTACGCTTGTGTGAAGTAGGCACAGAGCACTGTTTGTGTCAATCTCTGAACCCCTTTATCAAATGGCTGCTGCTGGTGGTCAGAGCTGTGGAATGTTGGGCAGCTTACAACACACTTTCCCATAATCCCCCAAGAAGTGATCCTGCAGCAGATCCTCCTCTTCTATCGCATCTGAGGTTTGTTGCTATGCACTTGCAATATTACCGCAGTACTTACACCTACATACAACCAGGACCCCTTCTTCACTCAACTTGCATCAATTGCTGCATGCAGGAACACTCCAACACCAGCAACCTCGAAAAGTAAGCTTAGTTATTGTCTCACTGCCTCCCAATCACACTCTAGTTCCCCATCTATTATTTTTCAACTATTGTGATAAACAATATAAGTCTCATGCTGTCTGAGACACTGCCAGTGCCCCCCACAGGGCATCAATAATGGGGATGGCAACTTATCTTTGAATTGAATTCTGCTAAACACTCCGATCACTTCAACAACCTGTGTTGACCTACAATATCCAGTGAGAGTGACATGCACAATGCATGATGTATGTTTCTAGAGTGAACTCGGCCAGGTGTTTCTTAAAAGTATTTTAACTGAATTGCTGTAACAAACTTTTGCAGCACACAGCACTCTCTGTAGTCAAATGTGCTTCAAAGTTTTCCATTTCACGTAACAATGTTCGATGTCGGTCAACACCTACACAGCACTCGATTTTGTTGCCACACAATGCACACTCACATCTAATCCCGCAGTAGGAATAGAAGGCATAATAATGTTGTAAATGCAGGTTAAATGCGCTGTACACCTTAACTACATCCTCACTTACAGTTGCCTCACATCATCATGTGAAAATGAGCAAACTTACAGCTATGCTCTGAAACCAGGTACACAGCAATACTTGAAGTCTCCTACTTACTATCAAATCCCCGTCGAACACTACGTTCACAGGCCTTGCACACACAAGAACCCATAGGTATATCAGTGCCCCTACAGAGTAACTGCTGTAACTAAGCCAAGGAGGAATGCATATCTCTAAGATGCTGTGAACTCGTTTGTCTTGATTGCTGAGATATCATAGTGACTGAAGTTGTGGAGGCAACTTTATTTAGCCCTGCACACGTCAACGGTGTTCTCTTAGATGAACCCGTGACAGTGTCTATGGATTGATTTGGGAATCAGGGAGGTGGAACCAACTGAGACACATTGTAACCAAATCGCTATAGCTGACCTTCTACCCAGCTCGCCAAACTAGTACAAAGCGCTCCCTTCTGGCAAACGAACAGCACCACCATTGATTCCAAATTGCATTCGACGCAGCACATCTTTGTCACATAAAACTGCAAGTTTTCTTTCATAGTTGTTACCTGTCCGCAATCGGGGAAGTGGTGACACTAGAATGAGCTGTATATAATTTTCCAGACGATTACTTGCATAAGCAATTAACACATTTTTACTAGGTAACCCAGTGCTCGCATTAACTGTTGGTCATTGGACGTTCTTGCCAGTCAATATTGCTATACATCTGTGTAGTCGCGTAGTTGTGCAGTATAGCACCCAGTAGGAAGTATAGCACCCATATATATACCGGTCTCTCAGCAGTCACTTAGAGCAGTCTCTTAGCAGTTAGAAGAGAGGAGGGCCTGTGATAGCTATAGTAGCATCTGTGTGGCTGTGAAACATGACTGCTTCTTATCTGGTACAGCTTCAACCATGCGCAGATTATCTGCCAGAACAGCTTGTTAGGATGTCAGGCCAATTAACAGACACTTTGTCAAAACAAACCCAAACCTTTTTCTATGCACTGATATAACCTTTGTTGGGTCACCATGAATCGAAAACATTTTTCTTTCCACAGATAGAAAATTATGCAGCACGGAAAAATGGAACAGTAACAGATATTGAGAGGATGTTAGCATCTAATTTATCCTATGAAATTTCATTATAGCAGAATTATACCTTTTTATATCATTATTTAAAGCGAATGAATGGTACAACTCATGTTAATAAACACCCATTGACTACGTATGTCTGCGTTGCGCATGCGCACAGAGGCATAAGCATGGTATATACCAAACATCAGGCTATGATAGGGTCTTCTACTTCAAGACGGAAAGCTCAAAAAAAGAATAACAGATAATATCTGTAGCCAATGCAAAGAGATTGGCGTTTATTTTGCAAAAGTTCTGAGGACATTCGTATTGCTCATGGGCTGCCTCGGAGCTCATACCTACCAAACTGCAGTTTGCTTGAAAAAATGTCGCCCAAAATGTATGCATCACAAGTTCTCACAAAAAAAGCAGAGGTTTGGTGATTTTTTGGTAGAATGAGCAGTACTTGAGCTTGGTTATCAAGTTAAAAGCTCGATGGTTGATAGATATGGTAGCCTGCATTGCCAGAATAGCTGCGGACTAATTGCAAGTACGGTTACCTCTCGCTGCGCATGTGTGCTGAGGGTTAACAACGAATAGCCTGTGAATGAAAGTTTGTATACACACCAAACACAACAACACATGTTTGTGAACTCTAACAAATAGCGTAGTTCACTCTCCAAACTTTCTAAAGGTAAAAAGCACGCACGCAGGTGAAAGTATACGTGGTATTAAATCATTCCTCTCACATGTTTGGAAACGACAACTATTAGATAGACACGTGCATCACATCATATCCATGACATTTCGTCATCGTAATTATTTCAAACAGCCTTAGGAAATAATAAACTTGTTGTCAAGGTGAAATATTAAGCATGCAACGTTATGATGACCTTAAGAATACGGGTCACAACAAGGTTGCGTTACTAATTGAGTGG